GCATATTGTTCGTAATTAAGCATAGAGGTGTTTTAATCCTCTGTGTCCATGGCAACAGTCATGAGATATGATGAGCGGGGGGGAAGTGAGGACGGCGTGGTCAGTGGTCCAGCGTGGGATCACAGCAGTAATAGCTGCTCTTCAGTTGAGCATTTAGCCCCTCTCATTGGCCACTGTGGCCTCGAGGCTTCTGGTTTGTGAGATCATACCTGTCACTTTTAATGTCCGGCCTCACGCCGCCAATTAGGCTTTGTATCGTACAGTACAGAGGGATGGAGGGGGGCGCTTTGAATAGTAATGTGTGTTATTCAGACAGGCTTTAGTACTAGAGAGGAGAATCTTGTATTTTTTTTGGGATTACTATTGCACATTACTATAGCCACATAATCTGTGATACATTTTTATAAAGCCTGATTGAAATTTAGAGTAGGCGCATTGCAGCAGTTTTACGTCAGTCAGTGTTTGAGGCACAGTGGCTACTTGACAGCTTCAGGTCTGATCTGTGCAGAGCTACAAACTGTACAAAACAGAACGAGAACACAGTGAAACCCATATTTTAGTTTTTTATATAAAGCCCTGCACGCTCTCACTGGTGTTTTCACTTATTGTTGATGATTCGACCTCTGGTTGGGTGCTTAGCGAGAGAGAGTGTGGAAGTTCGCTGGTCGCAGGTGGATGAAATAACAGATTTCCTACTGGCGAGGACATGAATATGAATGTCTGTGTAGACATGTTTATCACAGCTTTTCATTATGAATAAGAACACGCGGTTTTTATCTCATAAGCATTTAATGTATATAAGACACAAGAAATGGAATAAAGTCTCTAAATAGTTTTTGCTTTATTGCTCGACTGCAGCAACTACTGACTTTCTTACAATTGTACCATTTTGATATAACATGCTTCATCAGCTATAAACACTGTTACCTGTAGCCTTCACATGGAATCAGGCAGACAACAGACGGGAATTCAGACAATGGTAACAGTAAACGACATTGCCGTCCAAAGTTGAAATATTAAACCATGGCGACACTAAATCAAATGACGGTCCATACATTTAATTCGGTGTGTTTTATCCCTTTGCCTGTGTCCATTTAGCATTACAATGTTACTCAGCAGGTTAAAATTAGACATTTGGCTAAACTAGTGCCATCATATATTCATATCTATTGTACCTGTTAAATAATTAAATAGAGCTGAGGAAAGAATATTTTGGGTGGGTGTGCGTTCGACCTGGGAAAATAGAGATGAAAAATAGTCATAACAAAACAGTTTGAGGTTTTAAACTTGGCTTTTAGAGAACTCTATTTCAGAAAGCAAGAAATAATTAGCGTATTGGAGAACGTCTTAGCTTGACAAATGTGTATATTTTGCAGCTTAATGTTGCATAGCACTATCTGAAATTGCTTTCTTGTGAGAAAAATTGCATCTTTTTAAAAATGCAGTAGTCAATATTGAGTATTGTATTTTGATTGTTGTAACACTGCAGCCAAATTCCATTTGATTGTTTAAAACGTGTGCACAGCTGAAGCCTGCTAAACCTTTCCACTTTCTCACCTTAATGGATTCTCTGCTCTCATTTCATTTGTGTGCACTGTCAGGGTCTTCAAACCAGTTTAAGCACTCTGGTCCGTCATGGTGGCTGTGAAGGCATTAGGCAACATAAACGACGTACTTCTTCATGTTGCGGATTCCTGCATGTGTGTCTTTTCAGAGATAAATAGTTTTGGACAGCAGAGAATGAAGACAAGCAAAGCTTAACGTTTGTACTTCTGTGTTTGTGCATGTAAATGTGTACCTGCGCCAACACATAAATGTACCACAGAGATGATTAAAGTGAGTGGTTTTCTTACTCTGGGGAAATTAATGTGGCTTCCCTGAGCCCCCCCCCCCCCCCCCGCATAGCAACATTTGCAATCGTGTTTGTATGTATCATTTTAGCTACAGTATGCTTTATCCTATGGTATGTATATTAGGCATCATTTGCTCCATTAGCAGTGTGGGCTGTCATCCGTGCATTAAACCCATGCTGAGGCCTCTTTCTCTTCCCTCTCTCGGCTATTCAAACACATCAGAGGAGATTTAGTTTTAAATGAGATGTGGCACGGCTGTGTTAGCCATAATCGTAGCAAACGACCATCACTCTGATGGTGTTTGCAGGCTGAATGTTGCCAGTGATATGCAGCCAAGAAAGAGGCAGGAGTACTGGTCATGCCTGGCTTACGCTTGGGAAGAGAGAACAAAGAATGCAGGGCCTCAGGGCGGAGAGCTCAGAGTTATGGTTCAATGCGTTGCGCACATGCAAACACACAAGTCCACAGATCCTTGAAGGCAGGTCAACCAGTAGCAGGTGGGAACCCCAGGATTCGGTAATGGGACAATCCTGATGGATCGCTTGCCTGATAGCACGCAGTGTTCTCCTGAGAAGCCAACATCAGCAGGGGGTGAATGAGTTTTAAATCACCTGTGCAACCCTCCTGCCCTCAGACAGCCTCTTATCCAAGATCTTAAAGTACAGAAAAGAAGGCTCTGGGGTGATTTTACTGAAAGAGATGCAACAAAGTAATTCATCTAGTCTCTCACCTTATTAATAAATGTTGTTGTTCTGTACTTCATTTTGCTACCTTGTCATAATCAACCCATGAGAGATGGTAAACCTTACTGCTGTGCATGTTAATGCCTGTAGTGGGACTCCGATGCTTTTAGGACATCTATCACATACGTTTCTCATAGATTTTAGCTACTTGATATTTCAGAATTTTCTATACCTAAATTATAGTCCAAAGGAAGTCCTTTTAAAGTATCTATCTTAATTAAACTGATTCATGGTGCATGAACTATTCTGTCTGTCAATGTAAAGCAAGTACCAACAAGTCCTGGATATATTTCCATGATAATTTGAGCTTTAATTAGACATCTAAGAGGGTTGTATATGTGTGTTTTATTTTTCTTTAACTGTGGACCATTTTCAGAAATATTGAAATTGTCATTTAGTATATAAATTATTCTCAAACAGTTTGGGATAAAAGTAAAATAGAATACAGAAATGTACCTCCAACATACAGTACAGTAGAAAACAATGTCACTTAGATATTTATGATGTAATATTTCTGCCATACTATTGTCAACAGGTTCTGATTATACATTTTATATTTGGCCTTTCAATTATTTAAAAACATTTTCAAAAGTATTTCAGTTTGTATTTTTAATTTATTATTTATTTTCACAGAAGCATACATGATTTGTGTTGTTTTAATATCCACCGTACCATTAATATGCAGTTTTTATCTACTGATGATGCAGACAAAGTTGATGACATTATTAGATGATACAGTTTCGATAATTCTTACGGGAACAGTTAAATTAGATTTACAATTCACTCACAAAGCTTGGGTGAGTGAGGCAGGTACCGAGTTATATCACAGTCATTTAATCCCACAGGATCCATTTTAAAGCCTAAAATCATCAAATTGAATCCTATTGGTCACTCAGAGATCTAGACTAAAGAAGTAGAGATTTTGGAAAAAAACCTGAGTGACGAGTTCAGGCTGTCAAATCCTGTGTCATTAAAGTTTTTTTTTATACTTCTCCTATTAGCTTTGAGTTGTGTTTCACCCTTTATGAAGGCGGTACTTGTTTTGAATTATAAATGACTTGTTTCTATAACTGATCTTGAAGAGAGATGTACTGTGTGCTTGTGTACTGTGTGAAAAAACAAGGAAAGCACCATCCTGAGCCCATTAGCAAATACATTAGAGATTTGTGCTGAAAAGAATTTGAAACAAAGTCATCTAAAGATGCTTGAAATGAGCCACCTGAAATCTCTTTAAACGCTAATTTCTGGCTCTAATTTATATGGAAAGTGCCAAAGAAGGGTTATCCTTCAAAGCTGTTTCGACATGTCTCACAACCTGGGCTTTTTCTCAAGGATATCCAAGACATAGTCAAGACATTCTTTAGCACACAGTTGTGCTAGGTGGCTGCTTTTCTTTCCTGTATTACCTTTATAGCAAAAAGGCTAATCAATATTCTCAGTCGGTGCTATAGAGCCTGGAGATGATTATGGTGATAAATAAAACATTTTAGTCCCTCAAGAAGAGCTCCTCTGTTGCTGGAAGGGATTCTATTAAACTCAAGGACACATCAGAGGAACATGTGTATGCTGACACAAAGGACACGAGACCTTTTGTTTGTGGACTCTGATCGACTTTTAAACCTCATTTAATCATGGTTTAGCTTAATATCATGTTGCACCAAACTTTAGAACTATCTTGAATTATGAAAGGTTAAATGCAAGCCTCTCTAAATTTAATTTAATTCTGTTGCACCAAAATCTTAAACTCTAAATTTGAATGTGATCCAGTATTAACTTTAAACTTACACTTGAGGAGCTCTAACTTTTAAAATGGCTTTTTGATTGATCAAAATAATCAAATTATTCAAAGAAGGTTAAGGGACAGACTCCATAGTGACCGGTAGTTGGAGATTTCAGACACTTACTAATCAGCATCATTTTGCATCATCACCGCTAAATGGTGTAAAGTAGAAGAACAGTTATTCTCGTCTTTAAAATATGCAGCATTGCAGAATTGTAAGCAGAAAGTACCTTAAATGCCATGGACTCTATTAATATATTGATGGCACAATATATTCATTTGGAAGAATTTGGACACTTGGACAATTTGCAAATGGGAGATGGTAAATATTGTGCGCTTTATAGTAAACTAGGTTTGATTTTGACTATGGGCACCGGGTGATACACAATTACTTTTTATTACCTGACAACTAAAAACAGGATGCATAATGTTTTGTTTAGAGCCGTTATGATTAATCATAAAGGGAAAATGTTTTCTGTTCCAGCTTCTCAAATGTGATTGTTTATGTTTTTCTCTGTTATATATCTTTGGGAATGCATTATCGATTCACTGTTGGTTGGACCTAACAAGACTTTGAATTGAAACAATAATTGATAGAGTCATGGTCTATCTTTTCTTTCCCAGATATTTCGGTGGCCCATTGCCAGCAGGCTGGATGGAAACGAGATGCTGGAGATCCAAGTGTACAATTACAGCAAAGTCTTTTCCAACAGGTAAGGTTGCACTGCTGCCCACAACTAGTCCTGAAACACATTCGTCAGAGCAAACAGCATTTCAGAGTAAACTGTTTGTGGCCCCAGTGCCCTCTCGATCCTCCTGTCACAGCCTGTGACCAACTCAGACCGACACACGGTGCGTGTTTTTAGGATGAAGGAGAATGAGCTCGTATTCCCAGAGAGTTTGTTCTAAATTGACTCAATTGTGTGTGTAACAGACTGCAAACCACAGAGCTGGCCATGAATGAGTTTCACGTCAGGAGGGAATGAAACTGTATTAGATCCTCAGTAATGGGCCTATTTGTCACTTTACACTCACAAAAACACACAGGGTGTTTTAGTGCAAATTGTCACATGTCGAGTTTGTTTTATGTTGGTATTATTCAAAGTGGGTTTTTGATATAATACTGGTTAATTAAATATTTGCAATTCAGACACATTTTGCTGTCATTGTTTGTATGATTTTACAAAAAATATCCAAAGCTGAGGAGAAGGTATTCCAGTTATTCAGTTATTTACAGTTGTTACATTAACGACCAAAGGGCGCTTGAGCAATGCAATGATACTCAAACCTGAAGGATCTGCAAAGCACTCCAATTACTCCAAAGAAATCATTTGTGCCAAGTCAATGGTTGAAACTGGCCAATTAACTAATTCCCCTTTTGCTCCTCCTCATCTGCTTTTTTTCTTGTTTTTCTACATCTTAGTTTCCCTTGAAGTGTGTTTTTCTCTGGAGTTTCCAGATCTGATAAGACGTAGGCTGGTTGTGCCAGGAAGTCTGGCCATGTCTTGTGTCCGTAACAAATCCAATCAGATCATTACAGCTGCTGCGTCAAACTGGTTGATGTGCCCAGACTCAGGACACATCATGTCGCTCACACAGTCATTAAAACTTCGCATGGTTGTCTCTGTGTGTTTGTGGGTGGATATGTACTCTGTGTGTACCGTGACCTTTCATCTGTGTGACCTTATGTTGTCAGCCATGTATGAATGTAGTTGTGTGTGAATGTGTCTACTGTAGGTGGAGACATGTTTATCAATGTGTGTCACATGTTTCTCAGAGCTAAAAGCCGTGACAGGTGTGCAGACAGATCAGGTCTACGTCACGGCATCTCTTAACTGTCACCATCATTTCTTTCTGGTACCATTGTGTGGAAGAGGAAAACAGAAACAGGACAGCCACACATAACAATTCAAAGAGGGTCAGAATGTGGAGGATAGCTCAAAATGTTCAACTCAGCCTGATAATCAAACTGAATTGCCATTTCTCTTTATTATTCTTCATTGTGTTTAGCAATTTTCTGTTAAAGCTAGCGTGGCTCTCAGGGTAGAAATGCGGGTCGGTCTGTCCGTCAGTCCGCCACTTTTTCCAAACTGAAATACCTCAACAACTATTAGATCGACTATCTTACAATTGTGTACGAACATACAGGTCCTCGGTAGGTTTATCCTAATGACGCTGTCAATATCTGTGAAATGTTTGTAATAGATGGATTGGCCAAAGATTTTATAAAGATATGCATGGTCCCCAGGGGATAAATCCTGCCAAATCTGGCCAGCGCCACCACGAGGTTCACATTTGGGGTCTTTAGTGAAATATCTCAACAACTATTGGATGGATTGTCATGGAAGTTGCTGCATTCATGTCCTTAAACTTTCATCTTTTCTCAGGTCAAAATCTCAATTAGTCCAATACTTTTATTTATGAACAAACACCTGCAAGACTTATGACATTCGACATTGTCATCTATCTCAGCTGTACTTTGTGTTTAGTAATAATTAGCAAATGCATGTATGCTAAGTCTTTCGTCATTCATCCAAATAACATGGACTCATGCCACTTAAAACACATTTAAAGTACTTTGCAATTTTGAGCACAGAAATGGAGGATAAACAAGTAAAGTTGCATTCAAAGACCCTTGCTCACACACACACACACACAACCTGGCACTCATTGAAGTGGGTAAATAATTCAAGATGAGTCATAGCTTGTGTTGTTCTTACACCTGCTCCATATGTCCACACGCAGCATCATTACCAGGGTAACTGATCTGCTTCATCAATGTCTGCACCAACACACTGTAAGGCCAGTGTGTCACACTCTGCGACCGTACTTGCGATCATATTACCACAACAAATAGAGAAAGCGACGACGCGGGATGATCTCTGTGCTGTCGAGGCATACAGACCGTGTTTTATGATTGGTTTTCCCCTGGCGCAGAAAGATATGCTTTTATATTCTGCATGCTGTGGAGTACACTGGGTGCGAGTCCGAGCACTTATATGATTGTATATTCAAGGACTTCAACCTGATGCATCGATGCACCTCATCAATAATTTTATTTTAAATTGTGTAAGGTACAATGCAGCTCGCCGAACTGATCCGAACAGTTTTTGAAATTTTAATTCTGGTGTTCTCCTTTTCCTTTGAAAAACACGGGAAATGGCAACACTTTTGAATGACTTTCTTTTTTTGTTTTGAGAGTGAATACAAAATGTCAATATGTTAGACTCATTGACATTTTCTCTGTATTATCTTGTTCAATTCAAATAGATGATCTTTGATCAAATTACTCTTCCCCTGTCTTTCTCTTCCCCTGATCTCAGCAATAAATCAAATCATGCTATTTATTATATTGTTTCTGTTTATCTCTATGGGTTTTATTTAGCAATAGCCACAGGACATAGAGTTGTAGCCTGGCAACTGGTCTTTCCTGGCATCAAAAGTATCGTCCATGCCGTACACATTCAGGCTCAGCAATTTCTTAAAATGCAAGCTGAAAAACATAAACATGTTAATCTGTTAAATTGTACCTTGGCTTTCTCATGCCTTAAGCTTTGGAATGAACATTGTGGATATATACATTTTAAAATTTTGTATTTCAACAGAAGCAGAAGCACATCATTGTTTAGATTCTGTATTTCAATGACATTTGAGTAAGTTCTCAATCAATGAGCAGAACTGCCTTATGACAATATGTATAATATATATTGCATAAATATGATATAGCACCTTTATCTGATTTGCTGCATTTGCCGAAACAGATATTCCTGTCCTGCTATTTTATTTATACCGAACGGTTTCTCAATTCATTTTCCATAAACTTGACTACATCATCATTATTAAAAGTACATATACCATCATCACTTAGCTCTAATTGTATTATTAGATCATCAGGCACTGGTTCATATAAATACTGCAGTATATTTATGGACATTTGATGTATGTCTCAAAAAAAAAAAAAACAGCCCCATTATTTCCTCCTTTCGGTCCCACTTTCTACAGAATGACATTTAAATAAACCACATGTGGGTCATACTGTGTTTACCAGTTATTTTTTATGTTTATTTTGTCCAGTAACACGGCTGTTGTGGCTAGAGCAACACTCTGCTTGTAGGAACGACAACAACAAGGGCAATGTTGCTGCTTTTATCACACCACCCAGATTGGCAAGACATGCTGATGGACACTGACGAGCAAAAAACAAGTCTTAATAGCTTTTTATTTTGTTTGTCTATTGTGAGTGTGTTTGTGTGAAAGACTGGAGTGTAGTTTGCGTCCATGTGAATCAATATATATTCATCCTTGAACATCAAGTTTGCTGAATCTTCTCATGTTTACATCAGCGTATCTGCACCGGTGGGGGGGCAGAGCTCGGCAGAAGCTTCTCCTCGGCCAAACCACACACACCTGTCCGCTGTTACATTTTCATTTCACACCGTCTTCCAGCTGACTAGAGTTACTGTACCAGCAGCTGTGGTGGATTAGTGCGAGAATCAAACATTCGATTTGGAAAAAATATTTTACATTTCAAAGCAGTGCTCACCTCCACTCAAGTTCACCTAAACCAGAGACGTTCTCATAGTCACGCCTCAATTTTCACAAAGAAAGATTGTACAAATTGAAAGGGAAGGGAGCTCTGAATTATGAAGCAGATGAAAGTAAATTGTTTGCAAAACCTCGATCAATAATGAATGCCACCCTTTGAAGTGCGAAAAAGTGAGCCGGAACATGATAGGCCCTGCTCAGTTCAATTATTCAGCACTTGTACACACGCTACAATTGCGGAAAGGAAATGACCGACCAATTGCTGGACATATTGATCACCACTGTCTGGGGTAGGCATGAGTATTATACTGGGTTAGTATTTTCAGTGATTTTGCTGAGAGGTGCAGAGGTTTCTACTCCTCTTCACAGAAAACGTTGACTGCAGAAAAAACATTAATATCCTAACAAACTCTCTTGAGTCACGTCAAGCCTGAAAAGTTGAGCATGAAGTGATTCAGTGGTAAGCCTGACAGTCATGCACCTTCACAGAGAAAGCCTCTGCCAACGCCGTAAGGGAAGCACACACCTTTTGTTTTCTTTTTTTCATAACTGAGATTCAAAGTGAAGTCAAATTGTGGAATTCTAAATTTCCCTCGTTATTAAGTTTTGAGGCACTGCTGACAAATGTAGCCTCACTTTCAAAAGTGAGTTCAATTCATCACCACCAACTCCAGAGGAATAGCAAAGTATAGGAGAGTACAGAGATGGAGATAAAGACAGAGGCAGATGGGCAAGAAAATGTATTTACTGAAGAAAATGGATGTCAGATCTGGCAAGATCTCTGGACTCTACAACATCTGTATTTACTGGAGGAAAAAGACGATGTTATTGCTGACAGCTTAAGAATATCAAGAACACGTGAGAAAATCTGAAAGTTATATGTCCTCTGGCTTTACAGCGACTCAAACTTACAGTGCTTGTTCAGCAAGGTGCCTGCTGTACCGAGGGAGCTAATAGCTAATAGCAGGAGAGAGGTAGAATAATAGCAGGTGATAAACAGTGTGCTTGTTATTTGCTCACTGATAATGAACTTCTGCCTTTGTTATTTTTCTTTGGTTCTAAATTAAATATAAGGAATATGGTTTTATGTATTGAGGTGTTTGTGTACATTCTATGTTTGTGTTTCCTGTACTCATTCACTCTCGTCTGACTGCCCTGTTGGGAATCTCACGTCATTAGCAGCCATCCCTGCAGATTTCTTCTGTGTGTGTGTGTGTGTGTGTGTGTGTGTGGGTGTGTGTGTGTCTGTGTGTATGTGTGTATGCCAAGTGGTAAGCGCTATTGATTGTATTCTCTTGTTTTATGTTATTACTCTCCGTGGACTCATCCAGTCTGGTAATTGTGTGTCTGCTATTTCCAATGACTGTCCTGTTGCTCCATTTTATTCAAGTATTTTATATGTATTATCCTGTCTGTTATGGATTGAAATTAAAAACACCGCTGGATTTTCAGTCCATGTGTATGTATGTAAGCTAGTGACCATTAAAGTACAGTAGAAATAACACATGGATGTGGCTGAGTACGGGCTGCGCTGCATGTTTTTTGTGTGTCGTCTCCGGACAACACTCTGTTTTGGGGGGAAACTCATTAAATTATTCACCAGCTCTAATTGGCTAGCTGAATGGGGACTGTACCAGGTTTCTTCCCACTGTTATGTTCTGTGACGGATCCTTGGGCAGCATAGAAATGAACCGTATATGTCTAATGATCTTATATGTAACATTCAGAAAAAGTTATCATAATTACGATTTGGCTGTTGATAAGAACACTATTTGATATAATAATCCATTAATTCAGTCATGAGGTTTTACTCAAAGAAAAAAAAAAATGCTGATTGATGTTAATATTTCAATTTACCATGCCAGATAGACATTTAGTTAATATAGTCATCTACTTTTGTAAAATTGTTTTCTTTTAATGCCAATTAGAAGAAGAAAAAGTTACAGTTAAATGCAAAATGTGACGCACTTAAATCTAAGGTCTCTGTAGCCTTCAGCTTTTAAATTAAAGCAAACGAAGAGAGAACTTCTTCTTCTTCTTGTCATTAAATGGCAACTTTATAAAATAGAAGCAACGGATAACATTTTCATTCAGTGTGCTGGGTGAATGAAAGGTGTGCAAGTCTTTATCCAGTTATTTACTTGTCCTTGGGGGCATCAAAAAGAGATTAATTGGCTGATAAATTGCTGCCAGGTGCTGAAATGTGTTGAAAGCTTTGGAGAAATAGATGTCTGAAGAATTGAGTCGCAAAGTAGAAGCTTCTGGAATACAGTATATGTTTTAGCATTTAATTAAATGTGACACCAGATAGGTGGCTTTTACAAATCAAGATAATTAGATACAATAACAATTTAGCTAATTGTGACACCAACGTTTTCAAATGTGTTCTTAATGGTGCTTATTGTATATTATAAGGAAATAGCACGGAATGCCACTCTGTGTGGGAGATAGTTTACGATCAGTTGGTCTGAGCTGGGTGCGGCTGCCCATGGTTTTATACAGGCAGGTCATTGAGCACGGCAGCCGTACGGAGCAACAAACCAAACCAGTAAGACGAAAGCAGCTAAAGCTACAGAGCAGATTAGATTCTCAGTGGCATAAGTAGTATAAGCAACCTTCACAGTAGCAAGAACATCCACACTACAGCGAGTTTTTAAAATTAAGTGTAAGTGTGTGTTAATATGTTTCAGATGACCTGTGGAGTTTTCTTCTAATCCAACACAAGTTATGTTTACATTCAGTGTGTCTTACCACACTTCTCACAAGGAAGACTGATGCTTTGAGGACTGACATACTGTAGTAGGCTGATGGCAAAAGCAGTATGCCCTTTTCTCAATGACAGTCACAGCACATATCCATCACCACCCACCACACTGCAGTCTGTTCATGACTATCACTGACACTTAACTGCACGCTATGACACTGAGTGCTGGAGACCAGATGCTTTTGGTGAATAAAAACGTACTATTTGTCAGTATTTATTCGTGTAACTGAACAAGTAACAATGACGAATGTAGAGCCACACAGAGGGAAACAGATGCGCAGCGGAGGTTAAACAAAGGACACCGTGAATTGTTGTAATGCCTTGTATTGATCTCACAGATTTATTTTTACCATTTCCCATCTTCTGGTGCTTCCCTGCAGACTGGTGGGGACTTTCTGTATGGTTCTTCAGAAGGTGGCTGAGGAGGGACACGTAGAGCTGACCGACACCCTCATCGACGATAACAACACTTCAATAAAGGTAAAGGTCGTTGCATTGGTGGCTAAAAATAATCAGTTAATGCAACGTATGTTGCCAAGCCATCCAAAATGAGGAGAAAACACCATTTACATGTTGGAAATCTAGAATACTTGCATATGGGCCGTCCATAAAAAATATGAAGTTTGGACTTTAAATGCTATAATTGTAGAGCTTCAACGAAGAGCTGATACAAAATATATTTAATATCATTAAAGATGAAATTAAAGGGGAAAATTATACTCCAAAAATAGTTTTCAAAAGCTGAAATCAAACAGTTTATATTATATTATTATAGTAAAATGATACTCTGATAGTAGAATTGAAATGAAATGTTATTAGTCAACAAAATGCATTTTCAAGCAATCGGGGGAACATTAAATGGAGAAATAAATCTTGCCTATAAAGACATCGGCGTTGAAGATCTGCTCATCATCAAGGATCTGAGCAACATCAACACAATAGGACACGTCATTAACCTTAATCCAGATATTCTCTACTGATTAGAACATATTGTGTTTTAGAACAGCTGAACTGGGAGCAGCTCGGTGGTGACGATGAGTGTGAGGATGATTTGAGCTTTTAAAGCACCCCGGGGTGCAGAATTGTGTTAGTGGAGCTGGCGGTGCTGATGTGATGTTTCTACCACACAGCATGGCAGTGCTTTAGGGCTTACACACACACACACACACACACACACACACACACAATTAAGAGAATTTCAGTACTTACGTCCCTGTAGGAAGAAACTAAATCCAACATAAGGATAGGAGACAACACTTTTACGTACAGCTGCACTGGTGTGGTTGCCATAGTGACAATATGCTCGTACTACGAGCAGCATTTTGCAATCTACTCCTCGTGGACTACAGGGATCGTCTTGAGAGGATGTAAGAAAGAGAGAGAGACATCGAGAGAGAAAGGGGAACGAGAGCCCCTCATCTGTTTTTGTCAGTGGAATAAATTGGGTGCTCGATAATAAAGATGGATAGAGCAGGATATTTGTTGAAACGCGACTTCCCAGAAGACATCAAAGACAAACAACAGTGTCACCGATATTTCTGGACTGGATGAAACTAACACTCATTGTCAGTCTGAATTCCCACAGCAAATACTGTGACGAAGAGATGAATTGAACTCTAATCAATTTCCATGGGGGTTAGTGATTTGATTTTTGCTAACCAACCACTAGAAACCAATGCATCCGCCTGAATCTTACGTTTTTTAAGACTTAAGAAGTCGACAGGTGATGTGTTGCCATCAATACATACTTTGTGCTGCTGTTTTTAAAGTGGAGCGGAGCAGGTTAAAAGAGAAAAGTTAAAAAAAAAGAACTAACCTGCAATGTTAGGCGATATTGAGACATACCGAAATACAGTATGTTAATCAAGTCATATTAAATGAAAAACCCAAATACATAACTATTATACGACTGATGAGAACAGCTGATGACACGTTTTACAGCCCCAAAAACGTACAGAAAGCGTGAGAGGAGGCTGAACTTCCGCTGGAGCTTCATTAAAGCTGCACTATAAACATAGCAGAAAACTTAAGAATGTTAGCATGCTAGCATTTACTAATTAGCATTAAACACAAAATACAGCTGAGACTGATGAGAACGTCATTCATTTTGCAGATATTTTGTCATAAACCAAAGTAGTGGACACAATGATTTAGATTTTGAGATAATAATGGTTTGTTTAGATATTACATTGTGGACCAACGTGGTGAATCGAACCAATAGACGGACATTTCCCTCCCAAGAGCCACACTTATGCTAAGATAAGATGATAACACAAAAAACATAACAAGACTGAAAAACGTAGTTATTTTAAATTATCTTTATAGCCAAAGGAATATAAGTTATGACAGTTTCAGGGACATTAATGAGAGTTTCTAGATTTGACAAGTCAGATAGTCGTTTTACATGTTGGTGCAGAGATAATTCATCAGAAGCAGTGACCTTTGTGGAAGTGTCGGCGTATTAATCATCTGCTGATAATTTGCTCATTTTCATCTGTTTTCAGACCAGCGTAACCATTGAGATCAGATACCAGTCGATGGATGGAGCAGTGGGAGTGTGGAGCGACGGGGAGTTCCTCGATGTTCCTGACGACCGTGACGGGATGTTTGCCTTTGAAACGGACAGTTTACTGTCAGGACAAAGCGACGGGTCGGGGACGTCTCCTGGACGATCCTTACAGGGATCCATACCGACCTTCAGGAAGTGAGTCAAAGACACAAACTGTCTCCACGAGAACTCGACTTCCTGATGTAACAGTGAATCAAGCTGTGAAATGCTGATAATTTCCTCTGAATATTTTATGACTCTCCACAACATCAAAAAAGATGTGTTGTTTTAATTATGTACTTTAGTTTTTAAGAGCTCATTAACAGTATCAGTGCTACTGAGGCACACATGGTGGAGACAATAACTTGGACGCGTTGAGGTTGACAGATGGAGCCAACATTCGCACATTAAAAGGGGCTTCGTGCTGTCCAGCTGATGTAACATCTGTCACTGTTATGGAGGAGAACATGTAGGGGTCTGGTGCTTAAAGGGATAGTTCTGGTCTTTTGAAGTGGGGTTGTATGAGGTACTTATCCCTACTCAGCAGTAGTGTATTATGACCTACAAAGGATGGTTCGCCAAGCCCCCGCCTGGAGAAGCAGACAAGAGTTACTGCGACTGGGGACGTCAGCAAAAGGTTTTTTTAGCCACAAAAAAGAAAGAAGTCAATATCAGTTTAAGTCTACCCTATATTTAGAATATATTCATCTGTTTATTTTGCCATGAGACAACGGTTTCCATCTAGGCTCTTGTCATAGCCACCAGACTCTATTTAAAAAAACAGATGCAGATCACAGGGGTTGCTTTTCTATCGCTGCCTTCATCGGTTAGTTTGTTTGTGTTATTGTGTGACTCTGTTAGTTCGGATTCACCAAAGTCACACCAAAAAACAAACAAACTGATACATTAGCTCATAATAGACAAGCAGTCCCAAGCTGTACAGGGCTATATAGATTTAGTATGAAAAACTGTCAGAGCCTCTGACCCACAGCACTGCACTGTTAGCTTGTCTTCTGTGGTTTGCTTGTCGTGTTTTTGCTGAATAGAATATTATTCGTGGGTGGTATTGATTTCCACTGAGAGTATCTGCACCACCAGACCTTTAAATCCTTCCTTGTACTGCATGTTGAATGGCCGCGTAGAAACTCGTGTATGTGTGAGGCTGAATGTTGTCGGCTGCATGTTTTTGTGACACTGAATGGCAAAGTTACACCGTCTTACAGCATAAAGTTGTTCAGAGTCTGCCGCTGTGACACTTGAACAAGCCTAAGGTAATTTTGACTGATCTAAGTTTTAGAGCATCCCACGGGTGTTATGTAACAGATACAGTTTTTAGATTTTGTCAACAAAGAAAAAAAAGTACAGCTATGGAGAAATACTGTATAAGTGGGATGAAATTAGTCACTAAACTCGTGAAGCTAAAACTTTATACCAAATTTCATTGCATTTCCTCACCTTTCTTCAGGTGAAAAAGCCTTCTGTCCTTGCTGCTTGACGAGGGCACCTGTCATGTAGTTGCAGTGGTTGCACAGAGCTGTCAGTCAGACTTTGTAATGGCTACCGTAGGGCTTTCAGACGAAAAAAAAGGTTCAGAGCTGCTGAGAAAAATACCAACTAGCTCCCAGCCTAGCCAACAAATCCACTTCTAATCTGCCTCACACTGGTGTTGGACAGACTGATGGGCTTATGAAAAAAGTTTTAATAGCTTTGCCATTTCTCATCCAAACTCCCTTAAATCCTGAAATTTCCAGCCACTCAGTTTATATCTGCTTGAGAGGTTTTCAGAATTAAACTTCGTAAAAATGTTTCACTGTGTCCTGAATTCTGACACTATGCGGCCAGTGTGTGTCTATTGTTTTTTTTTCTGGTAATTAGGGGTTAATGGGCAGGAGATGATAACCAGAGATGACTCTCCCATTCCTCTAGGGAAGAGGAGGGGGAGGAGGAGAATGTCATAAAGAGTTTAGCTTCAAGGTATATTTCCTACATCCTTCCTGTCCGTCGGATTTTTCCACATTCTCTTTCATGCAAATGCAATAATTCTCAGCAATGTCACCTCTGCAATCTTTTTATTCTTTAAGCCAAAATCATCTGACAACGTCGTGGAGAATTACGTGTCTCTCTCAGGTGTTATTATGATCATAAAACTTCTAAAAGTATTGTCATCAGCTGTCTGAAGTCTTGCTGAGTCTTTTAAACTTTGAGAGAACAGGACTTATATTATATTTCTAAAACTCTTCAGAGACGATCTCCTCTATTGTGAATTATTCCCATGCAGTATGTTAACTGTTCTGAGTTCACGCATGAATTCAGAGTGGAAGAACAAACAGAAGAACTGTATCTACATGGTACAAGGAGCTCCACCTACTGCTGTTCAGTTATATCACCTGCAGCCGAAAGGTCATGCATGCTGCTTACATGAGTTTGTGCTCTTTGCCATTTTCATGGGAATTCCATTTCATTTTAACTGTATGACTGCAAGAGAGTGTAGGTGGCTTTTTAGGGAGTAATTGGTTCCTCCTCCCCTTAATTGAGTGAGATTGCGCCTGAAGTTGACCATCCCACCGCCACCACCTGTCCTTTCTGCAGCTTCTACGTTGTCTCTGGTCCTGCAGGATGATTTATGGCGGTGCCTATGAAGCATTTTGTGCTATCTACGATACCACGATGAGCCGGCTTTGCAGGGGTTTTATTATTCCTAATAAATAAATCACCCCCTACGTGGTTTTACTGCCAGTGAAGCAGATCTTCTGAATAGTGCATGCAGAAGAGCAAATGAGCCAGACATGAAGAGAAAGGATTTAAGACTCCAATTGTCATGTGGTCATCAAATACTGGGGAAAAAAAGACAAACGATGAGATGAAATGTGGTTGCACATTGGAGTGTGATCAACACTGGTGCAACAGGCTAACAGAACAGGATTTATTTCTTGTAAAAACCATTCATGAATTATTTTTGCTTTGCTTCACTGAGACATATTGCTGTAAATAATCATTGTGTTTATTCAAACCTTTTTAATATGCATGATTCATTTGCATAACATCAAATAGGCACTCAAAGGAGACAACTCGGCTCGGGCAAAGCTTCTGTTGAAAGGATCGTTTACTGAAACAAGTGTTCATTTATTTATTATGATTTTTTGCCAAGTGTGTGATTCATTTGTCCATCAGTGTAAATAGCTGTGTCTTCAAAGACAGCTCTGGCATCACACGTGTGGATGATGTACCTTCACTCGGCGCTATGGTGCAGATGTTGCCAGGCCTTTTATCTCACTCGCCTTTGTCTCAGTGAGTCTGCTCACTGCAGCACTGACTCCCTGTGGAAACATTCATAACAACAGATGTGTCGGCTGGTACAGAAGCATGCCGTTCTTATACAGTATGAAAATATTCATTTTGTGTGTTTATTATTTGGATAGCTACAGATACAGTATATACAGTACATCCTTGTCAGCAAATTAAAGATCTTAAGATCAGTGAGTCGACACATTGCTGACACGCTGCAATCACAGATGAAGCTTTACAGAATCTATTTCTGGCCATATACAGTATATGGCATGAAAAGATTAATTTTTTTCATCTATACAATCAAATAGAAATGTATTACTAATTTTACATTATCAATCATTCATGCTAGGTTGTGAATTATCTATCTAAAGGATGTATTGGTCATTTGTTCTTCTGCTTTGTTTCCTTCTGCAGAGGCTGGGTTGAAGCAGATGTCTTTTGAGTGTTTGACATTCCTTGTCTCTTCTCGTGTAGTTGCATTCTCTTGGGAAACTGCTCTGTGTCTGTCGGCTCCTCTTGTGTTTTGCTGTGGTTTGCAGTGGTTGTCATTCTCAGCTTGCATGATAGTACGGTGTGTAAATTTGAGCACAGCAAACGAGTGTGTAAGCTCCTCTCTTGTTATTTTTCTGTTCCAAGCCCTGATGTGGGAGCAGTCGATGACGACACGAGGACATGCCTCTTGGGGTAAATCCCAGTTTCTGCATCACCTGTGTTTTTTGCAGACGCGAGTTAGGAGCTGAACTTCTTATAAGAGATGATTATTTATGAGATTACATAAAAGGAAATGTCTTTGGAATCCCTTAGGCATAATCAGGAATGTCGAGGAGAGATGAACACTTTGTCTCTGAAAGCCTTTTGTGAATGAAAGTGAATTTTCCACACAAATGCACCATAAAATAATGTGGAGGTTTATTTCTGTGCGCAGACACAAAATCAAAATCAGCCCAAAGATTTCTTCAAATGTTTTATTGGCACTATGTAGGCCATGAAGGCTCAAAGCACTCTTATTTTTAGGTGTGAGTGCATTAAACTTGCATTAGCTCCTAACTATGTGACAGTAATGAGGGTAAAGTGATGAGCATTCATTTGCAAGATCACAGGCAAGAATATCAATTGCCGTATCAGTAAACTTTTTTGTAGGCAAATTAAGCATCTACACAAAACCACTCGAGAAGAGATGCCAATATAACAGGGATATATAATGTTGATGTTCCATTTTATCTGTTGTGGTCACGTAGAAGTTGTCGAAGTGGAAAGTTAGAAAAACATCACTTGATGCCTTGAGCAGCAGAGGAAGAAATCTGCCAATGAAAGAAAGTACTGAGAGTGAGAGCGAGAGGACTGCAGAGCATTCGATAAGGTTTCAGCACAGAGGGTTCTGGTTTAGTGAATGTTTTTATGCCCCAACTGTGTTATCAGGTAAAACCGATCTTTGTCTGGCTCCAGTCCAGCGGATCCTGGAAGCATTGAAATATATGCATCCGATCTAATGTCTATGAGAGGGAGAGAAGGAACAGAATCACCATGGATATCTCACTGAGCTCCAGTAAGCAGAGCCCCGAGAGCAGAACGCACAGACAGTATATGTCAATGAATTATTGATCGCTGGTGGGTTATATTTTATCTTCCATACTTATGAAAACGCATTCAAAACGAAGCAAGCAAGCTGAGAGAACATCTTCACCACTTTGACAATACATACCATATATCACATTTAGAATAAAATTGAAGGTCTAAATAAATTTTGAAACACATTCAACAATTTGAGCATTGAACATAAAATTCAAAGTAACTCCTCTGCCCTCACAATGTGTGCAGGTGCACAGCTATGCAGCGAGCTAAACACACTTCCAATAAAGGTTGAAGACGGGAGTTTTACATTGAAGTTTTTACTGCAAGCAATTGTGAAAGGGAAAACACTATTGGGTAAAACAGCAAAAAATGTAATGATAGTGTTTACAAATCGGAAAAATATGAGATACTGTTCACGCGAGTTAAACCAAAGGTATTTCAACAAGAAACAAAACAACTGGATGACAAGTTCAAATAAGAATTCAATACGTAACAGTAATAATGCTATAATATTATATAATGCAGAGTACACGTCATAAGAGTCTCCTGAGTTCTGCTGGATCTGAGACGTTCTGGAAAGAAACCATTGGCAAAGCCACCTTGGCAGTTACATCTAAATATTAATCCAATAGTAATGGAATACTTTCTGTTAATTTACAATTTTAATAATAATTAAAATTATTATTATTATTACTTTTTTTCTCCTTTCAACTTAAAAGGCTCAAGGACATTCTCACACACACACACACACACACATACACACACACACACACACACACACACACACACACACACACACACACACACACTGACTATATGATGTTTGCTAGCATTTATCCCACTGTTCTTGTCATCCTCTTGTTGTTATGTCTATGTATTGTCTAATATTGTCTCTTGTCTTTCAATAAAAAAATATAAAAAAATAAAAAATAAAAAAAAATTTACAATTTTAAGAGCTATGCACTTTTTGTTTACTTGTTATTCGTACCACTCCAAATATGTAACAAAGAAAGAAGATAATTAAGGCTATTTAAATGTTGTGGCTACCAGGCTAACAGTGGGGTAACCATCTAATAATAAGTGAATATTCCCAAGTCGGAATAACAAAAGGTTTTCCTGTCTTCCTACTCTGTTGTTCTGATGTTGTCTGAACGCAGCATTAGCAGCGCATTGGTCTCGGACAGCAAATATAAAAAATAATAAAACAAAGTTGCTATAATTTAATATCTTGAGCAATATCTTGGTTACAGCAGTGGCAAATGGTGGATGTGACCATGTCAGCGAAACAGCAGGTGTTGTACTTGCAACATGAAACCAACTGACGATGGCAGAACAGTGACCTCTTGTAAAAGTACATACCCAGCAGTTCTTCACACACACAGACATGTCCATGTTTGACCATATTCTTGCAGCAAGTTCAAAGCCAGGTCTGTGGAGTTAACTGCAACCTACACAGCCATCATGTACTCCATACCCCACTGCTCAACATGCACATTAGAAATTAACTCATAACAGTGGGGAATATGTTTCATGCACAGTTTTATGGAGGAGATGGAAATTATGTTGCCAGGTACAGGCGAATATCCTTGGGAGTAAATCTGCTTCAGTTTGATAATTCATCTGTGCGATTTACACGCGTAATCAGGCAATGTATTCGTGGTCTCATAAATTATTGATTCTCGCACAATCCCCCCCAGAAGCAGTACACTTCATTCTCAGCTTTAAGCACGAATGTGCATATGTTGCCCGAGATTTTTTTTGAATATGCAATAGCTGGCTTTGCATTACAATAGTGAGCTTATTATCTCTAGATCTGCTGTACAAAGCTTGAATGATCTTCACGTCTCATTCAAGGTGTTTGAGCGTTTGGTTGATGTGTAGCGCTGAGATGTTGCAGTTAATATGATAGTCACTGGTTTTTATTTCAGATCAAAGGAAAAGATGGAAAGAGAAAACAATCGGTATTAGAACCTCTTTAAGTCTCTACTTTAGCTTCTCATCAAGTTGACTTTTCTCTATAATTTCTTTCAAAGGTTGACATTTTGTGACTTCTACCTGCAAACTTGTGTGAATTTGCATATTTCCATTACTCTAATTGGAAACCCCACTTGTGAACTCTCTTTGCCTTCTCACTGACATTTTGAAAGTTTCATTTTGTCATTGAATCAAAGAGGGAGGAAGAAAAAAAACTTTTAAGGTACATCTCATTTTAAACTCGTCTGATGTTTGTCCTTGTGTTCACTCTTAATTTGGCTCAGCAAAGTGAAGGAAAAGAAAGTGAAGAAAGAAAAGTAAGTAAAACATTGGATGGCTCAATTGTTTTTTTACTTCGAATTTTCTTATGGATGTCTTCTCTCTTTTTGGTTGAAAGTCACTGTTCTTTTGCCAAAGAGGTACTTGTTACTGCTGGCAGAAAACACTGTTAGCTCCGTCAGCACTGTTTGTGTTGTTAGCACCTTTAGCTGCTACTCACTGGCTCAGCTGCTGCCGTATTGAGAGCCGAATGGAGGCAATAGATATGGATATGGGGCACCTTTAAGGTCATCCATCCGTCCATCCATTATATTTAACAGCTTATCCTGTTCAGGGTCGCAGGGAGGCTGCAGCCAATCCCAGCTGAGATTGGGCGAAGAAGGCAGGATACACCCTGGACAGGTCGCCAGACTATGGCAGCGCTCACACAGAGAGACAGACAAACAACGATCCATGCTCACATCTCCACCTACAGGCAATTAAGAGTGATCAATTAACCTAAGCTGCATGTCTTTGTACTGTGGGAGGAAGCCGGAAAACCCGGAGAGAACCCACGCTGACAGGGAGAACATGCAAACTCAACACAGAACGGACCTTTAAGATCAGAAAACATGAATTATTTTACTAAGGGTAATGTCGGTCTTTTTCGGTTAGTGTCAAGCATGTAGTGGTAATGTTATGTTTAGTAACCCTAAAAGGAATGCTCAGTACAGTTGTACAAAATGAAATGTTTTCGTTATGGATGCAGCAAAGTAAGATATTAACATTTCTGATTTGTTGTTAAACATACATTTTCCCATTTGATCTAATTTAAAGGTGATTTGGTTCTACTCTGGTAGCAGTGTTACTCACCAAGGAAAGGAAACACTTGCATTTGCATATTTCAAACACCGAGTTGGTGCCATTAAGATTCACAGTTTTGTTAATCAGTTGACCAAACATAAGCAGTGTTTTCAAAGTTCAATATAACATGACGTTCAAGTGAGTTTGTTATGAACTCCATCTTCTTTGGTGTTATATAGAGCCCAACCCACTCCATCCTTCCCCTCTTCCTCTTATCTCCAGCCATGTACCTCCACCTCTCTCTCTCTCTCTCTCTCTCTCTCTCTCTCTCTCTCTCCTTCCCTTTCTCTCTCTTGCATCATCCACTCATCTGGCGAACTGCTTTCCTGCCTGGCTGGTCTGGATGATCTGCACCTGACAGGTGAAGACTATGGAACTATAGTTCAGAATACAAAAAAACTCTGGAAGGAATTTTTGTTTGGGCAGATTTATGGTGATCTGACTTCTTTGTGGAGTTGATTAGGATTAGTGGTGTCTTTCATGTGGTATGTATGAAATGCATTATTTCACACTTTGTGGCAGGTGTGTCTTTTGTTTTGGTAGCTTATTGCTGAATCGTAGATTTAATAAGACAATGAGGTGGTGAACCATGGCTGTGGATTTCTGTGGATTGAGAAATTAATTATTTTAGTTACAGTTACAGTTACAATTAACAGATGTTACATCTAAAGGTATTTCCAAGGTGTTTTCATGCATGCACTGATAATTCAATAGACTTTCACATCTGCTGGAAATACAATGGTCAAACTGTGCTTCATACTGTAGACATGACACAGGCTGAGAATGCAAAGATCATATTTTCAAGTGTGATTTGATTTGACTGGTAAAGCTTTTCCCCTTTTATTGATGAGCGATTCCTCTGTCCTTTTTATTCCCGTTCACATGCCTCCAGGCTTTTACTTTTAAATAACTCTTGGCACTCAGCCACATACCCATCTAATGAGATGGAAAACCATCCAGTTGTCTATATTCCATCAAATGAGTTTGAAGGTAGCCTTTAGAATAACTGGGGAAAGATCAAAGCAGAAATTGAACTCCGGTGCACTCGACTCTGAATGCTTGAGGAAACAAAAGAAAAACCTTCCTATTCATTAATCTGTTGACATGTATCCATATCCGCAGCAAATTGGACGGTCACACTCATTTTCAATTATTAAGGCCCCTCATTTGTCGTCCCGCTGATGACATCACAAGCTCTTTGTTGTTGTGGCGACATTTAATCCAGATAATATCAATGTGGAGACACTGGATACTCTTGTTTTGTGATTGAGGGTTTGGTGATGTGGAGCAAGGGAGGGGGATTAAATCCATTGGAATTAAGTGTGTAGCTGAGTTACATAGATGTCCATGATATAAGTTCTGGTGTTGGGTTGCAGTTTGATTATAGCCGCGAGCGAGCCTTGGAGTTTTCTGCTTCAGTCAAGTTCAGTAGTAATCAATTTCTCCGTTGGAGTCCAGTCTCCAGTCTTCTGATGGAGAGCGAACTTCATGAAACAATAATGAAAAAGTTTACTTTACAGTATAAATTCCCTTTTCCTTCTCCTCCCATCTGCTGTGTCTGTCTCCTCCACCAGAGCAGGGAAGGGCGTTTTCTCAGCCATGAAGCTCGGCAAGATCAAGAGCTCGAGGGACGATCACAAGAAAGCAGGTAAAGCAACATCCATTTAACCCGAAATTAATCCTTTAACTTTTTATTATACTGCAATCCCGCAAGTTAGCTGGAGGCAAAGTACACGTTGAAGCCCATTTCCCAAGTTATTAGTCATATAGTACATGGGCTATCCTATTTAGGGCCAAAGCCAGGAATTACTGAGGTCATACGTCTGAGCCCCCCTCTTTGAGAAAATTAGGCCCATGTCAAAAATAAAGTAGTGTAATATACAAACATAAGATAAAAAATACTGGAATTAGGCTATTAAATATCCACCAAGTGTTTTTAATTGCTTTATGTTAACTCCCCCCAACTTTCACAGAAAATAGCGCAGACTTGACCTAGCTACAGCTGTGGTCCTACCATCAAAACATTTGTGGTTGATTCTGGCGATGTCACGATTCTGATATTGTCATTCAGATGAGCCGGCGGTTCTGGACTTGGAGGACCTGGACAGGAAGGCGATGCGTCTTGCTGGAGCCCTGGACCCAGACACCATCTCTCTGGCGTCTGTCACCGCCGTCACCACCAACGTCTCCAATAAAAGGTCTCATTTTTGAGACATGCATGCACACACACGGTAGAGAAATCTGCCCCAGTCAGTACTGTACATCTCAAAACTACTGATGCCGCAGGATGATTTGAAGCTGGTTGCACAGTGATCCCATTTAATTGCATATATTTTCAAGAATAAACTTATTCAACTTGGGAAGATGGAAGAATGAGAGCATTCACAATTTAGGATTCAAACTTAGAATAGAGTTTTTATCATGTGCCACCTCAATTTTCGATATTGGAGCACAGGAGTATGTAATCCTTGATTGTGTTGTGTTTCTTAAGGTCAAAGCCAGATATTAAGATGGAGCCGAGCTCTGGACGCCCAGTGGATTATCAGGTGTGTATTGTGTGTCTGGGTGTTTGTGCATGAACACATATCTGCACATAAAACTGTGTGCAGGTTCATTGATGTGAGGTAAATCTTCCTCTCCACTTGTGTCTATTTCTAATGTGATACATGATATGTGTGCGATTTTGATGTATAACTGGCAGGGTAGTTGGGAAGTGGAAGAAGTACAGCTTCCATGTTAATACAAATTATGCAAACTATCTAGTTGTGCCGGATTGAAATACACTTCTTTGCTTTCTTGCATAGACAAAGATGAGAAGATTGAATCCATTCTCATATATATTTAGTGTTAAGTAGAGAGGTCGTAGGCATCTTTGTTTTCTTTTATTTATTCACCACAACACCAATGAAAAGAAGTAAAAGAGTAATTGTGTACACAGTGTACCTGTCAACCAATGCTAGCAAACGGCCCATTTTGATAGCCTATTTAATTTAAGAACATGAATACATTTGTCCACCCGACTGAAATCCTAGAGTAATTGTTGGCTGCTGCCGCTTCCTCATTTCCTCTCTTCTCCTCATCATTATCCAACGACTAATTAAACCAGTGGGATATTATTTGGGTGTAGAGATTTTGAGCTCAGATCTAGTTCATCCATCCAATGCTACATTACTTTAACCAAGGGAGAAAAAAACGTGTAATCTGGCTGAAACCCTCACTGACTGGAATCAGAATCATTATTTTGTGAAAGATCAATTGGTTTATTCTGTTTTTTGCCTTTGAATTGTCCTAAAGGTGATTACTGCATAGATGCATGATTTATGGTGATGGAGTTGCTGCTGGTTAACTCACTGTTGGAGTAAATGTCAACCTGTCTTATAGCTTTCAGAGTCATATCTGATTTGCTTATGTCTACAATCAGATCAGCATCACAGTGATCGAGGCCCGGCAGCTGATAGGCCTCAACATGGACCCCGTAGTGTGTGTGGAGATTGGAGATGACAAAAAATACACGTCAATGAAGGAGTCAACCAACTGCCCGTACTACAATGAGGTGAGACTTTGTAAGCTTTAAAAACTCACACTGCAGCAATGCAACTATAAACTAAATATGAACTTCCTTTTTAACTCGTAATGCTAGCTTCACTCTGTCCCTACTATTCTTCACATTGTTTCCTCATACAGACAATTGTATTTCCAAGGCTGAACCAATTTCTCTAACCTACTTAACTGTAGAAAGATATAACACTGCTACAGTATATAAAATAGATTTTACTGTAAATACAGTACAGTGTACGTATTAAAGATGATGTCAGTATTTGAGAGCTTAACTCGTGGATGATGAGTCTCTGCAAAATATGAAGTTTCTTCTGTACATTATCTAAAGACTATTCAATTCTCTGAGCTGCAACACAAACACACAACAAGGCTTAACTAATGCCAATAAAACACGAATTGTCTATTTCCAATAAGCTAGATAATACAATGCTGTCTAGAGGCTGTCGGTGCTCTCTTTGATGGTCTGATGTTGTAGTGATTTATTACGCTACATTTAAAGCTTTTAACTAGCGAGTTTTTGCCAACTCTGAGTGTTCCTGAAGAGCAGATAATCTCTCTTGGTGCGACGTGTTGGTAGTGGTGAGGGTCACTTAGAGCTCAGCCTCTGTGTCCTGCAGGGACCGGATGTGACAGTGTGTCTGCTATCGATTCCTTCTGTTTGTCTGAAAGTCTCCTGTGGACACACGAACTTGAAACCAGAGTGCTCAAGATAATAGTCCTTCATGCTTTCTCGCCTCGTATCCAGACCCTCCAGTCCGTGCTGTTTCAGATAGGTGCACACTATTCAGGACTCATGATCTGAAATCATCTCTGGTCTTTCGAGGCTCGCTGATAATATTGCAAAAACTACATCATCATGAGAAATGTAATGTGACCCCATTTCATCACTTTTTTCCTTGTCACTCTTGGTTTTTGTTTAGTAAATAAATATTTTATCCGGACTTAACAGCACAAACTTGGAGTTTTGACTTACCTGCAAAATACCAAATGCAATCGTGAGTGACGTGATAATATGTCCATGGCTGAGATGTCGCCTGAAGCAAAGTCAATGATGTACAGTTCTGTAGAGTCTGGCTATCCACTGTGAACAAACACTAACAGCAGATAAAAATAACAAACAAAGAGGAACTGCAAAGGGATCTCATGAGACAAATCTGAGTTCGCGTGATCTCTGTGTACCCTGCATAGACGCTGCCTATAGTAGAGTTGCATAGACAGGCGACAGTATAGTTGTACCAATACACTGACACCTGAAGACATACAGAAAAGGCATGACAAATCTTTGATATAGAACTTATTTCTTTTCTTTGCCTGTAAAGAAGTGAAAGCTTGAGGGGCTAGAGCTTTGATGTCTCTACACTATGAGCTGAGCTGATGATGTTTCAGTTCATTCCCTCCGTTCCTTAGTTGAACTCTGCACTGATATCCTCTGAACTTCAAAGTTACCTCGCACATTTTACTCCCAGAGCAAATCTGAAAGAAGACTTTGTTATCCAGCAGTATAAGGGAATGTGTTTTTTTAATGGGCGAACCTTTTTTCTCTACTCTTTGCAGTATTTCGTCTTTGACTTCCACGTCCCTCCTGACGTCATGTTTGATAAGATCATCAAGCTCTCGGTAAGTAATGCCTACCCCAAAAGTACACACTGTAATACTGCTGAACAAACCCATTTTCCCCTCTTTGGTACATTTTTTGGTACATGGCTTGTAATGCTTGCACTTTGATTTTAGAGCACCAAAAACTAATGAGGAAGAATTGAATGGTGGAGATAAGAAATCTCCCTAAAGTAAAACTTCTTGTTTATCCAGTTGCATGCTCACTGCTCCCAAAACACATGCATCTTTGCTAAAACCTTACTATTTAAAACACTCCCATGTAATGCTTTCGTATGCACTTTTCCAATACTGTAGTGCTCTTTGTTTTAACATTTCATTCTCAATTCTGTCTGCGTAGGTTATTCATTCTAAAAATCTTCTTCGAAGTGGGACATTGGTGGGAACCTTCAAGATGGATGTAGGGACCGTTTACTCTCAGCCTGGTAAACTAAAAGCTGTAGCTCCAATATGAATCTAATAACTGATCATGACATACACGCATAGTCTGAAGTTTAAATCCATTCGTTCTTTTGTTGATTGTGAAGTGAGACTGGATTAAATAAATTATTGTGAGTTATTAACTAATTGATTTACATCTATCCTAGAACATCAGTTTTACCACAAGTGGGCCATCATGTCTGATCCTGATGACATAACAGCGGGGTGTAAAGGGTATGTGAAGTGTGACATCGCCGTGGTCGGGAAGGGCGACAACATCAAGACCCCGCACAAGGCCAACGAGACTGATGAAGACGACTTAGAGGGGTAATAAGCTGTTACTGGTGTGTTTCAGATTTCATTGATTTTGAGGTATACTGAGTTCAATTAAAATTTTCATGACGAATTTTAGTGGTGGAAAGTGGTATAACAAATGTAATTATATATGTGCAGATTATTCCAAATAACAGACATTTTAACAGTTTTGTCTGCCTCGTTTTCTTTATTTCAAAGATGTTTTTAGAGTATCTCTTACAGTATAATAAGTCAAATATTTGAGTACTTTGAGATTGGGTAGTAAATAAGTATTTTATACTAAAACCAAAATGTTTATAAAGCTTATTCCACAATCTTTACTTCTCTTGTAATGTAGACATTAACTCCACAATCATGTCTCTGAATGAGTTTTTGTGCTGTTCGTCTCCAGGAACCTCCTGCTCCCAGAGGGCATCCCAGCAGAGAGGCAGTGGGCGAGGTTTTATGTGAAGATCCACCGCGCTGAGGGACTTCCTAAAATGAACACCAGCATTATGGCTAACGTGAAGAAGGCTTTCATAGGAGAGAACAGAGACTTGGTGGACCCCTACGTTCAAGTGCAGTTTGCTGGGCAGAAAGTAACTCCCTCCACATCCTGCAGTTTCTTATTCTTTGCTAGCTTCTAGTGGGGTTATTACTCCCTCTTAAATTGCTTAAGAGGGGATCTCTTAATGACCAGTATGAGCAATTGCAGCAAATAAATGCTGTTTCAATTTACATATAGGCATGTGATTATTTTTTTAGGACAGACTTGAACAAATGTGAACCTATCTTTTAAGCAATTCACATTTACTCCTGAACAAATGTTTTCCCAATTTGCTACTGGACAGAGGGGGCCTATGAAGTAGAATATATCCTTTAAAGTTGTTAGTGTCATCTACTATAACATAAGGACTAGAGCCACATAACTGCTCACTACAAATGTGATTGTTTTTCATACCTTGTACTTGAGTGTTACTCCTTCATGTGTCTGCAGGGGAAGACTTCAGTCCAGAAGAGCAGTTATGAACCGATCTGGAACGAGCAGGTCGTCTTCACTGAGCTGTTCCCTCCGCTCTGCAAACGCATGAAGGTCCAGATACGAGACTCGGATAAGGTCAACGACGTCGCCATAGGAACCCACTTTGTTGACCTACGCAAAATATCAAATGATGGTGATAAAGGTAGGTCAACACACACAGTCGGTCTCATTAGCATTGATTAGCTGTCAGGTACATTTATTAGTCAGTCTTAATTAACTAGTTAATTTTTTACTGTATGTGGTAATTAGCTGTGCTGTGTGAATCGAACCTCATGACCCAGCTGACCCTTTGCTAACGGCTCTGTGAATTCAGGGGATGACTTTTCAAATTGACTTGCAATCAATACATACATTAGCATATATTCGATCAAAGTGCAATATCCATTATGGAGAATTTTTGTAATTGTCTGGGGAAAATTCCCCACAAACCAGCAATACAGTCCCATTTCTAGCAGTGGCTGGAGTTTCTTTTTATTCACAGAGGAAAAACTGTTGAGCATGTTTCGTGATTTCCACCATTACTGATCATCAGACAATCAAGCGTACAACCTTACAGAAACTCAAAACATTATAAACGCATAATGCTAAAAAAAAACAAAAGACCTTCTATGTAATTGTCAAAGGATTATAGATTACCACGTCATTTCCTACAGACATTTATTTTACCCTTCTCCAGGGTTCCTGCCCACCTTGGGTCCAGCTTGGGCCAACATGTACGGTTCCACGCGTCACTACACTCTGATGGACGAGCACCAGGACCTGAATGAGGGTCTTGGAGAAGGTGTGTCCTTCAGAGCCCGTCTCCTGCTCTCCATCGCTGTGGAGATCCTTGACACCACTTCACCTGAGCTCATGAGCTCCACTGAGGTGCAGGTGGAGAGCGTCTCCAACATCTCAGAGGTGAGAAGACCTGACTGCAAATCACAGCAAAGTGGTTTTTGGATAGGTTTTTTGGTGGAAGTAATTCCTGGACATTTGTAGGAAAATGCACGGAAAAATAACAATAACTTTTTGTAAGATATCGTATGAAACGTTGTATGAGGATACGTTGAAATGTCTCATCAGTGAAATAAGAAACGTTAGATGCTTTGCCTCGGGGTAAGCTTGCCAGCTATTTTACCTCCTGGCTGTAAATGTGTCCCCTGGGAACCTCAGTCATTCATGCCAGCATGAGGCTGTGCCAGTTGTCAAGTACTTTGCTTTGAAGGAGAGACAGATTTCTAATTTAATCAAAGAAATAAGAAATACTGTAAATAAACTAATGTGTCTCCCCTCTGACAAATGATGAGTGAAACAAATCTCATCTATAAATGTGTTCATCAATGGATTTGGATCATTTACATGGATGGAATGGAGTTATCCATTTCACGATATTCTCTATCTGGTCCAGATAATTGTGAGCTGGCTTGTTTGGGGCTCTTTATTGATTATGTCAGAAAGTAAAACGACTCTGCTGCAGCTAAGTAGTCTAAGCCAAGCTGTACCTTGGAGGCATCGTGACGAACTGCTGCTGCAAATCCTTGTTAAAAGAATAATGAGTATTGATTAATATTCTGATGACAACCATGTGAATGAAACGCATCATAGGGCAGAAAATATGGTGGAAATTAGAGCATTTACAAATGTAGCGTATGAATTAAGTGGCTGACTAATTCAGAGAGGAGGCAGGTAGAATGTATGTGTTTAGAGAATTACAGAAAAGAGAAGATTCAGCAATTCTTCCACAGACTTCCACATTAAAATGAATGCATTTCAATCTAATAAAATGTGGTTTTATTGCGCTTCTCCATCAGAGCGCCACTGGGAAGATAGATGAGTTCTTCCTCTTTGGTTCCTGCCTGGAGGCCACCATGATAGACAGGAAGATTGGTGACAAAGCGATAAGTTTTGAAATCACAATAGGTAAATAAACCTTTCCTTCATCTTGTTAATATTGACCTGCACTCCACACTTTTACAATTTATCAGAGATGTGACAAAGAAAAAAATCGATATGCACCGTAACCAAGCAAACTCCAGAGCAATGTTCTGCCCGCTAACAGGTAACTATGGCAACCAGATAGATGGCGTAAGCAAGCCTTCGTCGACAAAGAAGAAGAAGAAAGACGGTGAGAGTGAAGAAGAGGAGAGTGAGCTCATACAGAACTCCAGCGAGGACGAGGCGGACGAGGACGGGGACCTGGTTTCAGTCTCCTCCACTCCTCCAATGAAGCCCGTCATCACCGACAGGTCAGGGGTCAAGGGTCACAGGGGTCAAGGTTCGAGGATGTTTAGAAAGCAATTGTAACAATTTAGGGTGTTGGACTGTGAACCAAGTCATTTTTTTGTACTTTTTTAGGAATTATTTCCATCTTCCCTACTTTGAAAAGAAGCCGTGTGTCTACATCAAAAGTTGGTGGCAGGACCAGAGAAGACGACTTTACAACTCCAACATGATGGACAAGATCGCTGACAAGCTGGTCAGTATACAGCTTTATTACCGATATGCAAAGGTTGGCTCAGATGGCAAGATTGACTTAACTCAGTTGCAGTTATAGCAGTAATATCAAAACTAAGAGTCTATATAGTCCTGCTACAGTAGCAGCTTTTTGAGGAAGTATTCAGGCGCAGCGGTGCTTTGAACCAAATGTTAACATCAACATGCTTACATTCTCACAATGGCAATGTTAACAAAGTGAGGTTTAGGAGGTTTAGCGTGTTAGCATGGTGAAGCAGCTGAAGGTGATGGGAATGTGAGTTTTGCAGGTATCTAGTCATGAACCAAGGGATTGGGGAAATCTTGCGGGGATCATGAATGTCCATCTGATCCATCTGATAGTTATTGAAATAGTTCACTTACAACCGCAAATGTCAACCTCATGGTGTCGCTAGAGGAAGAGTCAAAGGATAATTAAAGTCCATAGGATTTATCCTCTGGACATAAATGTCTCTATAACATTTCATAGCAGGCCATTGAATAGTTGTTGAGATATTTGAGACCATCTTATATTGTTTTTCCCAGAACCATGTTGCTACAATGGCTAAAAAGATGGGAAATAAAGGACAATTCAGTACAAACAAATCTAGGAATAGAAATGTTAGAAATATAAGTTATAATGTTTCTATCATAGATAAATTATCCACTACACCATCTACAGTTGTGTTCCTTTCTCGTCAGCCATGTGTCTACATCAAAAGCTGGTTACTGAAATGTGCGTATGCCTATCAATAATGTCACAATTATACTATAGTAGATAGTAGTATGTGTATGTTGATATGGGGCATTTTGCTTTTGTAAAATATGTTTTAAACCATATGAGTACTAACAACTTGTTTTGTCCTAAGCTCCAATATTTTTGTGTCCGGACAGGAAGAGGGTTTGAATGATGTTCAGGAGATCATTAAGACGGAAAAGGCTTTTCCAGAGCGCAGACTCAGGGGAGTGCTGGAGGAGCTCAGTGTCGGCTGCAGGCAAGATACTTAGAAATAATATTTGTTTTGTCACTGTGACTTAGTGGTCAGCACAGATACAGAGTTTCTCCTGATGCTGTAAGACCTAAAACTGTATAGTGCTCATTAGCCAATTTTGCATTTAATGCTGTTCAAACATGCATATTAATGACTACAAGCAGCTTCATTAATGACCCAGACACAACTGGCGATAGCAGCTCACTGCACTGAGACATTTTAAAACACAGTCATTGTGATTGTCATGGTCACAATCACAGAGGAATAAGATATATAGAGTCGAGTCACGTTCATGTTTTATTCTCTGCATCTTGTGGTTGTTTCCAGTCGGTTTGTGATTCTGGCTAACAAGGATCTGAACCAGGCAGGCCGAACCAAACTGGATCGAGAGCGGCTCAAGTCGTGCATGAGAGAGATGGTATGATTTATGTTTTATCAAATAGAGAAAAGAAGGAAGCAGCGTGAGTGATAGAGGAGAAAATGAAGCAGTGATTCATCAATTTGGCTGTGTTTCAGTCTCAAATCCCAGCGCCTTAGTGAGTAAATAGTTTAGAGTCCCTGTAAAGGCCACGCAGGGAAATTAATTTTTGTAACACATTCACTCCCTGTGAATTACAAAGTGTTCTGTAAAAACAACATAAGAATTGTATGCATGCGTTGTAGTGGTGAAAAAGAGGAGGTTATGCTATGAATAAGATCCATTGTTTGACCTGAGAAGTATGTCTACTTAACGCACACTGAGAAAGAAAATAAATGACTATATTGCATTCTGTAGCTGCATTACAACACTGTTTGTGAGGGAATGTGAAATCCGCCATGGAAAGCACAAGTATTGCAGGAGAACTCAAACATGTTCACCCAAAAAAGCCGGTAGGAAAAGTCATGTATGTATAGGGACTCCATGAAAAAGCATTTAGAAATGAGCAAAATGTTTTTGTGTCTCTACTTTCTGTTTTGGTCTTAAAACAAGTTTCTTGGAACCACAACATTTTTCATATTTTTAAGTTCCACTCATGCAGTTGTTTAAATTTAATTCAGATAAGACCCCAGCTATGATGTGTGCATGTGTGTACATTATGTATATATGTAATCTGCAGGACAGCATGGGCCAGCAGGCCAAGCAGATCCGAACTCAGGTGAAGAAAAACACAGTCAGAGACAAACTCAAGATGGTGCAGAACTTCCTGCAGAAGCTCCGTTTCCTTGCAGACGAGGTACTGTACCTAACCCTAACCCTGTACTTCAGGTACAGAACTGACACAGCATGAGTGCATAGAACTATTAATGCAGACTCAATCCACGGTATATAAGCATTGTACATTGATCCCCTATCAATCGATCCTATCTATTTACCTTGTCCAGCCTCAGCACAGCATCCCAGATGTTTTCATCTGGATGATGAGCAACAACAAGCGCATCGCCTACGCCCGGATTCCTTCCAAAGACATCCTCTACTCCATAGTGGATGAGGAAACGGGAAAAGACTGCGGCAAAGTCAAAGCTGTCTTCCTCAAGGTGCAATCATCTCCTCCTCCTGCTCCTCTCTTGGTCAAACACTGTTAGTCATTAAAACACACTTTTGCTCATTTTCAATGTAAATGAATGACTGCTCATCATTCTGATGGCCAGTTAAAGCGGAAAACATGTAAGATAAAGTTGTACTTTGCTGCTGGCTGCACTGTGAGATGATTAGTAGTGCTGAACAGTCAATATACAAGATACAGTATTGACAAGTATTATTGTGAATAGGCTTGTAAATCTATGACAGCTGCCTAGAGAGAAGCTCGAAAAAAATCAATGAGGTGGCTTCCTAATATTTATGGGTTGGGCCATGTTGCGACATTGTCTGCATAATGCTTAATGATTGAGTCGCTGTAATGATACCAAAGAAAGGTTGTACTGTAATGTGGACTTTCCTGTGTTCATTCAGTCCACTGTTGTTGTCATCTGTGCCCACAGCTTCCTGGTAAGAAGGGGTTTGGTCCTGCAGGCTGGACAGTTCAGGCTAAGCTGGAGTTGTATCTGTGGCTCGGCCTCAACAAGCAGAGGAAGGACTTTCTCAATGGTCTGCCCAATGGTTTTGAAGAGATCAAATCTGCTAAAATGGACCACGGTCTTCACTCTGTCCCCCCCGTCAGCCTTGTCTACAACAGTAAGCTCTTGAGTATATAAGTTGAAATTCATTATTGTTTTTCAGTAGTTTTACTTTTCTTCATTGATCATTAAGTTTTAACTCTAAAATCTAAAATCAATTGGAGGCAAAACGCAGAAAAACAAACTCACTCAGAAGTCAACATTTGACTCCCATTGATTGCTTTTACTTTGTCTTTCACTCTTCTGGCTTCTATAGCAGATTGCTAACAAAGGGTTCTGATTGTCAATTAATGTGATGTAATGTTTGTACGTCCATCAGTGAAGCAGGTGTTCCAGCTCAGAGCACACATGTACCAGGCTCGCAGTCTGTTCGCTGCTGACAACAGTGGCCTGTCAGATCCCTTCGCCCGGGTCTTCTTCTCCACACACAGCCAGGTTACTGAGGTAGGCCCATGAATGAGTGTATATGTAAACATACGTACATTGTTTGTGTGTATGTGTGAACTGAACGAGTGTTTGTATTGATTATGTGTTAACTGAGTTGATATGGGCGGCAGTAGCTCAGTCCGTGGGGACGTGGCACTTGGACCGAGTACTGAGTGTGGAATAGTAGCTGGAGAGGTGCCAGTTCAACTCCTGGGCACTGCCAAGGTGCCCTCGAGCAAGGCACCGGACACCCAAACTCCACCTCCGGAGCTGTATAGTAGTAGCTGCGCGCTGATGGGTTAAATGCAGGCTTGATTTGTGCTGTGATGTGTACATGTGTGTCAATAAAAGTGTATTTGATTTGATGCATGTGCTGCAGATCCTGAGCGAGACTCTTTGCCCTACGTGGGACCAGCTGCTGGTGTTTGACGATGTGGAGCTGTTCGGGGAGGCCAGTGAGCTGAGAGATGACCCTCCAATCATTGTCGTGGAAATCTATGACCAGGACACTGTGGTAGGATCTTACTCTATGTGAATGACTGGATGCATCATTGAGACACCGATTAATAGATTTGTCAATGCTTGTTAAGCAGTTTTAAAGCATTTTCTTTGCGCAAAGAAGTCTAAAAGTGCTTTGCTTCTCCTTCCCTCGTGTGCTGACTGTCTGTACACCCTTATTTCATTCCACCCCACCCGTCACCTTATCTCTGGCCTTGCTCATGCTGTGCTGGCTAAATAGAGTGTGAAAGCATTACTACTGTAAAGACTGTGTTGAATTAGATGTTCTAATAGCTACTGATTGCTGTTAGCTGATATAGCATGAATTGTCAGGTTCATCTAGCTGCTGATGAGCTCTGGAACAAACTTGCATGTACCTCCTCCATTTCCCCTCTCTCACTTTGTAACAGCTGCAGGAGCATTAATGCTTGTACACTAGTAGTGGTGTGGTGTAGAAAATCTGCCTTGCAATACTCAACCACAAAATATAGATTAAAAAAATGCTGATGTAGCTATCTATTTAATGAGTACGCCTCTTTTTTGTTCTATTACACTGTAATCTTTAGTCAGTGAGCTTGTTTGTGTTATATAAGACTGAGTTTTTGCTGCAAGCTTTCCCTCTCAAATTTCACATTTTTGAACCCTTCCACCACTTTGACTAATAGTGACACCAAGTGGCTGCCATAGAAACTGCACTTCCCTCTCACCGTGCCTAACTCCCTTCCCTTGTCCCCTGACTGTCTCGACTGCCTGCTGTCACAATGTGGTCTTCAGGGCAAGGCAGAGTTCATAGGTCGCACGTTTGCGAAGCCCACCATCAAGATGTGTGAGGAGTACTACGGCCCCCCGAGGTTCCCACCACAGCTGGAGTACTACCAGATCTACAGAGGGAACTGCACTGCTGGGGAACTGCTGGCTGCCTTTGAGCTTCTGCAGGTAACAAAAAAACTCAAAACAAATGAATGAATGTGTTTACATATGCATGCACACACCTACATTAAGACTTACAAATGAATACATTATTTTTCATATACATGCACACATACATGCAACTCCATAGGGTCTCCTTGGGAGATTCATTGTCACTACTATACAGTTTGGTTTGGTTATAGTTAAGAAAGAAATGACAACTAAAAATTATCGATATGCTTGCACTATTCACCCAAAACAGGGACAAAAGTACTTCTCCATAGTACCACACAGTATGTCTCTTATTTAGGGTTGCAAAGGGTCGATACATTTCTGGAAAATTTAATGAAAATTTCTGGTTGTTTTCCAAGGGAAGTCCAGCTAAAAAATGTTGGTAATTTTGCAGATTTTCAAAATAAAAATCATACCTTTTTAAGGTGCAGGATGTAGGATCTGGCGACATCTAGCAGTAAGGTTGCAGATTGCAACCAACTGAGATTTCTCCCATGTACCAAGTATGTAGGCGAACTACAGTACAGTGGCTGACTCAACAACTTGAATGGCCTTCTCTAGAACCAGTGTTTGGTTTTTCTGTTCTTGGCTACTGTAGAAACATGGCGCTGGCTCCATGAAGAGCCCTCCATGTAGTTATAAACTGCTCATTCTAAGGTAATGATAAGGTATTTTCAGGTGATTATACACTAAATAAATCCTACTTATTAATTTTGTATTCCATTACTGCCAATAGATCCCCCTAAATGCTACACACTATTTCTTTAATAGTGAACTTATTTGGGAGGAAAAAAGCAATTCCATGTCTTATTGCATTTTTTGGGCTAAAAGTATACATATGTAATTTTAACCATGCATTGCAGTATGTAGCGCTCTCTTCCATCACATGTACAGATAATTTGTCAGCGTCCCATTAAATAGGAATTGAGCTTGGAAAATGAAGATGAGACATTAGAGTTTGATATTAAATATATTTCAACTCAACTAAATTGTTGGGATTTTTTTTAATATCTATTATCTATTGTAAATACAGTCTGAGCAAGTAACTTATTGAAGTTATTTCACATTGATTCCCATGGAAAGTTTCCATCACATACTCCTTTTACTTGTTTACTATTGTGATAGTCACTCTCTATTACTTCTTCCCTTTCCTTCTTTAAATATTTGCATCTCCATTTTTTCCTCTGCCACCATGTCACCTCCCTTCCTTTCCACTAATATATTCATTGTTTCTCCTTTGAAATATCTATTTGCCTCTTTCTTCCTTCCTGTGCCTCCTCCTGCTGCTTACAGATACCTTTCGATGTGGAGGCGATTAGGCGAGCTCTGATCGCTGTCCATAACTTTACTGTTCCTCAAATAAAGGTGCTCTTTTCTTGCATTCTCTCTTTTCATCACAGAAACATTGCATACTTTTACTGTAAGGTTTATTTCTGCTCTCTCCTCCTTTATTATAGATTGGTCAAGGAGGGAGGGCCGACCTTCCTCCACTTGAAGGGCCGACAGACTCGGAGCGTGGACCCATTCTGCCTGTGCCGTTGGGCATCCGACCCATCCTGAGTCGCTACCGCATAGAGGTGAGATTCTAACCACCAGATCTCTTATTTGAGCTCCCGTTCTGCCTAATGCTGTTTTTTTCTGGTTCAGGTTTTGTTCTGGGGCTTAAGGGACCTGAAGAGGATTAACCTGGCTCAGGTGGATCGGCCTCGTGTGGACATAGAGTGTGCAGGTAGAGGTGTGCAGTCTGTCCTCATCCAGAACTACAAGAAAAACCCCAACTTCAGCACCCTGGTTAAATGGTTTGAAGTGGTAAGTACAGCTGTTGATTTGACATTTAGACCCCTACAAAGTTGTATCTTGGATTATAGCCAGTTCCTTTCAACAAACATGAACCTTGACTTGCTTACTGCCTTCACTTAACTGAAATACATATTTTAACTTATTGCAGGAATAATGCAAACATCTCTTCTTTCTTTTCATCAACTCATCTCATCAACTTAATGTCTTAATTTTGTCCCCAGGACCTTCCAGAGAATGAGCTTCTCCACCCTCCTCTCAACATCCGGGTGGTGGACTGCCGGGCATTTGGCCGTTATACCCTGGTGGGGACCCATGCTGTAAGCAGCCTGAGACGTTTCATCTACAGCACCCCAGACAAGACCTCCAACAACTGGGCCACTGCAGGTGCTAACACTCAAGTGAAGGACTGTGTTTCCGTTATTGTGATATATTGTATTACTTTTAGTCAGGAGCCTATTAACTGTGGGATTTTGTGTGTGTGTGTGCGTGTGTTAGGAGAAGCACTGTGTTTCTATTGCCAGGTTTCATTTCCTTTATACATTTTACACTCAGAGTTTCTTCAAATATTTTAAATATAAACAGCAATGAGTAGTCAATTAATTTGAACCATGTAGAAGACATTCTTTTGTTCACTTCTTTGTCATTTCTGTGTTTCTTCTGATTCAGCTCTCTGGTCACTAAAGAATGAATGCTCATTCTTTATTAACTTTGCTGATGTCTTCGCTTGCTTTCTGCCCTGACCACTTTTCCTCCCTGTGTCCTCCCTCCATCTGTTGTCTTTTTTCCTCTCTCGCATGTCCTTGACTGTCCTGGCCTCCTGCCACCTGCTGTCTTTGCCCTTCGGCCTCATTCCAGCTAAGCTAATGAATGGCTACATGGTCCTTACCAATGGTGGCTCCCATCCTCGCTCCTCACCCAGCCTTTCCTCCCGCACCCTCTCTCGCCCCGCAGGTGACATCAACGTCAACACGGACGCAGACCCTCTGGTCCGAAAGATGGACACGGTGGTCAAATTAGACGCTGTAAGAATTTCTTTGAGTTCATTCACTGTAGAGCATTGCCTTCTAATTTCTATTGTACAATGTGTGTGTTTATAAATGTAAATAGTAGCACTGCTTTATGTCCAGTCCTTTTTACCTGCCTAGTCTGTACATGTGCATCATCCATCGTGTGTATTAACCCTTGTGTTGTTTTATGTAACGCTCCCTGTCATAGACGTCTGACGCTGTTGTAAAAGTTGACATGGTAAGTAATCGTTCCTATAGAAATTTGCCGATGAAAATATGTGCTGAAGTTTTAACTGGTGCCTCATTGTGCATTAAAACTTAATCACTTAATGATTCTGAACTGTTTCAACAGACCGAGGAGGAGAGTGACAAAGACAAGAAGAAGAAGAAGAAGAAAAAGAAGGGAGGAGTAGAGGAAGAAGATGAGATGGATGAGAGAGTGCTGGACTGGTGGTCCAAATATTTTGCTTCAATAGAGACACTGAAGGAGGTTTGTCTATTCTGTTCTCGTATGTTCTATTTACATCGACCCATGTTTCTGTTATTGCCCTGACAAGTGAAGTCCTATTAGACTCATAACGGTTTCTTGCCTGGTTTTCCAGACCCTCAGAGCCCAGGAGACCGCTCAGGCAGAGGCGGAGGAGAGAGAGGACCTGGAGATAGCTGCGGAGGCAGGAGGTATTAAACCCTAATCGGCTGGGCTGCCTGCCAGTGTGCTCAAATGTCTGCTGCTTTGATTTCTTTTGAAGGGATATGTCACTATTATTGGCTTCTAAGTTCAGGATTCTACATTGACGTTTGAAAGAATTATTCTCAGTTGTTTATTCATTTTGAGTTGATAGGCCTCAGGATGAAGGAAATACAGTTCTGTCAACTGCACTGCCTGAGATAGCGTAGAGATATTAGTTTTGTGCTTTAGTTATGTCAGTCAAAGAAATGTACTATGGTTGATCCCTAAATCACTCCCTATTTACTGTAAATTATAGTGCACTATATTTATTATCTGTCCATGTGGTTTATTCTCGTGAACACAATATTTCAGGAACACTTTGAGCAAATTTCTTCAAATTTGACACATTTTTAAATACTAAAAACCTGCTAAGAATCTGTATGTCGTATAGATTTGCGACATCGCATAAGTTCTGTTTACAATCCCACAATGCAATGCAACACATGACGATGACTCATAAATATCCAAAATACCAATTTACTCACTCACTCCAGAAGGAACTACAGAGTGTTGATTGTAAAGGCAGTAGAGAATAAGGGAGTGATTTTCAGTCACAGCTTTTGTCTTGAGATGCAGTTTGAGCATAAAACGCACGGGAGAATTGTTATGTGCTTCCTGCTCTTCATCTCTTTGCTCCCATGGACTCATCCTTCATACATGCTTTGAACATGAGTCAAACATTATCATATTCATGACCATTTCCTACATCAGCATGACCTCCCAGCTCTGCAGTACACATGAAAGCTGGCTCAAACAGACCCACTGAATCAAACGATTACATAAATAATTAATTACATAAATTATGTACTGTTATACGGCAATCCCTGCAGCATAAAATTTATGGGAAAAGGGAAAGGTAAACTCACCTGATAAACACATTGGTCAGCTTTCATGTCGAGTGACACGTGTAGTGTGCAACCCTGCCACCCCTCTTCATGACTCCAACCCTACTTTGTCCACCTCCACTTTCACTCACCCCTCCAATCAGATATCAAACCTGATGACCTTCCTCTGAAAGGGTCCAAGACAAGGGAAAAGAGCAAAGAGAAGAAGAGCTCCAGGGACAAGAAGAAGGGTCAGGCTGCAGACGGCTCTGATAAACGACCGGTTAAAGCAAAAGTTGATGAGCTGATGGTAAGTGTGTCATTCACACTCTGACAAAAAATTAACCAGCACACATTAATAGACATGCAGAGACAAACACTTGATGTGTTTGTTTACCTATACAGGTGTACAACAAGGAACTGGAGAGCGAGTACGGAAACTTTGAAGACTGGCTTCACACTTTCAACTTGTACAGAGGAAAGGCTGGGGATGACGACGAACAAGCTATGGATGACGACAGGATCGTTGGCAGATTCAAGGTGGGAATAAACTAGTATTTTCCCAGCCTACATTAACTGACTGAAAATAAGTCTTGTCTTTTACCCTGGTAATGTATTCTGTGACCCAGGGATCCTTATGCATGTACAAGCTACCTCTGTCTGAGGAAATCACAAGAGAGGCAGGATTCGATCCTAATATGGGCATGTTCCAGAGCATCCCACATAACGATCCAATCAACGTCCTTGTCCGTGTCTATGTGGTCAGGGTGAGTGACCTCCTTATCATTTAAACCTATACGGCAGTTTAAAAATCTCACATCATAATAAACACAAACTGACAAATATTTCTCTTGATTTGGTTCTGTTTTCCTCTAGGCTGCAGATCTTCATCCTGCTGATATCAATGGGAAGGCTGATCCATATGTTGTCATCAAGCTGGGCAAGTCAGAGGTCAAGGACAAAGAGAACTACATCTCCAAACAGCTCAATCCTGTATTTGGCAAGTAAGTTGATAGTTAGCTGCTCTTGATTTAGTTTCAGTTTATTGTCATGTGTCGGTAGAGCAGGAGAAAAACTTCTGGCTGTCATCAAAAAATGTTTTTGTGCAACAATATTCTTCTCACATTTGCTTTAACGCTTAATTCTTCTTCTCACCCGTTTATCCTCTGCTTGTTCATGCTCAGATCATTTGACATTGAGGCCACATTCCCCATGGAGTCCATGCTAACGGTGTCGGTGTACGACTGGGACCTGGTCGGCACTGACGACTTGATTGGAGAGACAAAGATTGACTTGGAGAATCGTTTCTACAGCAAATACAGAGCCACCTGTGGCATTTCCTCCAACTATTCTCTGTGAGCCTCCTTGCCTTTTATCCTTTATATGTTTTTAGTTAATGCTTTAGTTACAGTGTCTATTTGCATAAATTGAGTCTTTTATATTCATGAAACTTATGATTACCTTCTGATTGGCTGGAAGACTTCAGAAGTTCAATTACCTCTGTGTTATCTATTGATGTCAGCCATGGATACAATGTGTGGCGGGACCCAATGAAGCCCAGTCAGATTCTGGCGAAGCTCTGTAAGGACGGCAAGATCGATGGACCTCATTATGGGCCGGGAGGCAAAGTCAAGGTGGCCAATCGAATATTTCTGGGACCTACAGAGATTGAGAATGAAAATGGTACGACTGCATGCTGCTCCTAAAACTGTGATATCGTATAAAAGTCCCACATCTGATTAAATGTCAAAATAATTGTGATACCAATGTAATACCATGTACAAGTGATTAGTAGTCTCTGATTTCAAAGTTGTGACGGTGATTTACAATATTTGGGGGGTTTTGTTGCAAAGAGATTGTTTTCTTTGATTGACTACTTTTATTCTTCCCTGTTACTGATATGTACTTAAAAAAACAATATCTCTTATATCATCAAACCGATTTCCCTTGATTTCAATGCTATAATCAAGGTAGAGTAGAAAAGAATATAACTGCACATACAACTTTTGACATTTGGTCTTCTATTGTGGATATGTTAATCCTACAAACGATGAAAAGGTCATCAGATGTTGCCAATAATCTAATATATGATCACATTTGTTTACATTAAGGCTGTAAATGTCTGTATTGTTCAGATTGAAGTGTTTTGCGTTCCCTTTTGTTTGTGTCGATGTCTCAGGTCTGAAGAAGCAGACTGAGGAGCATTTGGCTCTGACGGTGCTGACCCACTGGGAGGAGATCCCGAGGGTGGGCTGTAAGCTCGTCCCTGAACACGTGGAGACCAGACCCCTTCTGAACCCCGACAAACCCGGCATCGAACAGGTAGGAAAGAGCCACACTCGTCTGGGGTCATGAAACGGATTGAAATGATGGTTGGACTGTATTTTGTTCTCTGTGCGTTGAAAGGGCCGTATTGAGATGTGGGTGGATATGTTTCCTATGGACATGCCTGCTCCCGGACCTGCGATTGACACAGCACCACGGAAACCAAAGAGGTAGGCCCGGGCTGGAGAAAAAAAAGACAAACATCACTAATAACTGTAAATCCAATGCAGATTTAATGGGAAAGATATTTGTTCATTGCGTTTTGAAGTGTCTAAAGTTCAGTTTTTCCAACAGAATACGTAGTTTTATCCCCAGCTTAAGTTATGGTGAGTCTGTTTTACTAGTTAGCTCTCCATTTATTGTCAAATATAAGTCCAACTGTGTGTTCCTTCCTCCCCCCCTTACCAGATATGAGCTCAGGGTGATTATTTGGAATACAGACGAAGTAAAACTGGAGGACGATGATTACTTCACTGGGGAAAAGTCCAGTGACATATTTGTCAGGGGGTAGGTACAGTGGGATGCGGCAACCAAGCCTCGTCCCGTGGGTGTGAGCTGTGTGTGGATTTTTTTTTTTTGCAGTTAACCATTCTTTTTTTGTTTTGTTTCCATTTTTTTCTGTGCGTTTTTGTGTTGTTTGTGTTTGTGGTGTGTCTCCTGTCTGTCTGTCTGTCGTCCTCTCTCTCTCCTCTGGTCAATGCTCTGCTGCTGTCTAGCTTTGAGCTTCGTGTTGTTATTTGGAACACTGATGACGTAATTCTAGAGGACGATGGTTTCATGACAGGAGAGAAGATGTCTGACATCTATGTCAGGGGGTAAACACGCGATTCCATCGCATGGCTCGTACAATACCTCCCTTCCTTCCTCCTGGACTCATTTATTTCTTCCCTTTCTCACTTCCTGCCTCAACCCTCCATCCAGCACGTAACCTTGCTTGTCTTAAACTCTCCAAATAGCACGCTCAAAACTATTGCCAAATGAAAAATGAGTTCAGTCAGGATCAAACCACATAAACAACTTGCTGAGTACAATCATGATCATAGTCGTATATATGCCAAAATAATCCACAGATATGCTGAGATTGAAATAAATACATACATAAAGTGGTTCAAGTGTAAGAGAAATTGATATTTTTGAACATAATCAACTGACATTATCATGACTAACTACAGGTTGTTGTTTTTTGTCAAACTACCATTTTCTTTTTTGTTACACTGCGATTTTATTTTATTTTGTTAAACTACAGTACAATTTCCTTTATTGTAAAACTTCTATTTTATTTCCTTAAACTACCATTTTTTTGGTCAAACCTTTTACTTTGTCAAACTAACATTTCGTTAACCTACTTGTTTCCCTTTTTTGTTAAACTATCATTTTCATTATTTATTGTCAAACTACTATTTTATTTCATTAAACAATCATTTTATATTTTGTCAAACTACTATTTCCAAAGTCAAGCTTGTTTAAGGTTTGGTCCTGTATTATTGATTTTACTTGAAGTAAAGATATTTGTGATTTCAATTTGATGGTGTTTGGAGCTTGTTGCATGTATATCAGTAAAGAATATGCATGGCAGTACGACAGAGCTCCGATGTGGACCCTTTCTAAGGTGCAGTTACATTAGTCTTCTGTCCAATGAATTTGCATCACATTGAACCCCCAAAAAATAAATAGGGAATGTATGCCTTAATTCATTTATCATATGAACCGCCATTAAAGTGAATGGAAGACGCAGCAAATGTTCACAGGCTTGCAGTATAATGTGACCATCGACGAATAATAGAGCAATGGGGTAACTAATAACATAAATAATGTCTCAATTGTCCCAGTAGGCGATGTCAGTACAGAATGCACAATAAAACCAGTTTAAAGAACTGACACCTAAATGCAATGCAGCCATTATTAATGACTTCATTGTAATTGAGGTTTTATTGTCGTTACTTGTGAAATCTCTAAAAGGATATTAACTTAAACTCCTGTTTAAAGTTATGTCAGTGTTTTGCGGAGCCTCCAAAATCCTGCATCTGAACAAAACTAATTTTCCCGTCAGCTGACTTGGTGCCACCCATAGATGTATCACCACAGGACTGCACTATAACAAACTGGGTGCCATCCTCAAACAACCCTAAATACATGGAGGATAATAAGAGTATTTATGCAGTGTTGTAGAAAGTTAGTTGCTGACCAAACTGTCTGCATTGACAGTAAAGAAGGGAAGATGGGGTTGTTCCAGATGGATCCAACATTGTGATTCAGTGGTTATAATTCAGTTGTTGGGTCACATGGAGCAGGCATGTTTTAGTGACCTTGTGTCTTTTGTAGCCAAGCAACAACCCAACACTTTCTCACATTAACCCCAGTCTAATGTATGCCAGTGCATCTCAATTACCAAATCACAGCACTTGCCTTCACATTTTTCTACTATTCACTGAGATGTTTTTGGTTTTGAGAACTGAGAGTACAGCTTCCCTCCTGTTCCTCCTCACTAATAAAGCCAGTCTCACTCTACTGTTAATGAAAGAGCTCCAGTCAGCAGAGACTGACCTCATAGCCTTTGATCCTCTGCTATCTGAATCCAGACACTGAAGATGAAAGTTTTAGTTTTTTAAGGAACATTTCAGGAAAATTTCACTAATGGCATTTTTGCAAGCTTTGTGTATGCATGGCTTTGAAAATAGTGTGAAGCTCCAACATCAAATCAGGTTTTATGTATCATTCAACTTTTTTGTCATTATCTCACACACAATCTGATTTGCTTTTGGGGAGCCACATTATGTGTTTTGATTATGTCCTATTAGCATCATCTCTCTTGTTGGCACACTGGTACATTTAACCTGTCCTATGCTCTTGTTTAAATCAACAAAATGAATATTCAGTAACTGACAGACAATTGCAATTCCCTTCTTAATATAACTTAGAAGTGCATGACTGACAAAATCAAACATCTATCCACTCATCCAAACCATGATCCTGTAGGTCAACCTAACTTTGCTCTATCGTACTTCCTGCAGATGGCTGAAAGGGCAGCAGGAGGACAAGCAGGACACAGATGTGCACTATCACTCCCTGACTGGTGAAGGCAACTTCAACTGGCGCTTCGTCTTTCCCTTCGATTACCTCATGGCTGAGGAGAAGATTGTAATCTCTAAGAAAGAGTCTATGTTCTCCTGGGATGAGACTGAATACAAGATCCCTCCTCGTCTCACGCTGCAGGTCTGGGACGCCGACCACTTCTCTGCTGATGACTTCCTGGGTGAGGCCTGATGGGAACAATTACAGAACTTTCCATCTGATGTTCCACAACAAAAATGCTGAAGTGTCACCATCCTTTTTGTCTTTGACTATCACCACTCGCAGGTGCGATTGAGTTGGACCTGAACCGGTTCCCTCGTGGCGCCAAGACAGCCAAGCAGTGTTCCCTTGGTATGATCCGAAACGAGCAGGAGCTGCCCACTATTTCCATCTTCAAACAAAAGAGGGTCAAGGGCTGGTGGCCGTTTGTAGCCCGCGATGAGAACGATGAGATGGAGCTAACGGTGAGTTGTGAAATACAGAGCACAGCAGCATGACCAAAGTCACAACTGCAGTTTGGCACCACATGTGAAATCATCATCTTGAAATTACTTAAAAAATAATTTCAAAACAGCAGCTAGAAAGCCACCCCCAACGGAGTAAAATCTGAATTGAATTCAACATTATAAAGAAGAATGCAAGTAAACAAAGAGCAATAAAAGCAATAACATTAAAGTACAAAATACAGGAAAGTGTATGTCTAAACCTTTCCAAGAAAACACTATGTTCAATAAACTGGTGGTGGGTCCCAAGAAGATTGGAAACCTCTCCGTTCATCTATACAGACAGAACAGAGAACCAGATCGAAAGTATTTGTATACTCAAGACATCTAGCTGATTGATTAATTTGGATATATCGCATTGTCATGTTGTCATTGCAGGGTAAGGTAGAAGCTGAGCTTCATCTGGTGACAGCAGAGGAGGCGGAGAAAAGTCCTGTAGGGCTCGGACGAAATGAGCCTGATCCACTGGAGAAACCAAAGTAAGATATTGACGTTTATTCAAAATATATGGATTTAAAACTCACAAACACACACACACACCTTTTTCACTATTCAAATTTGAGGATGGTTGTATGGTGCGGTCCCTTAAATCTCCTTAAGAAAAACATCACAGTGCAAAAAGCAGTGAATCAAATGTTATAAATCACAATAAATCAGGACTTCATATTTGATAAACGTGATTTGGGCTTTTTGCACAGTAGTCAAAAGGCAGTTTCTCCTCCTACCATCTCTTCAACTGTCTCCCTCTGTCTCTCCCCTCCTTTCTGCGTGCGACTCCCCCTTTCTCCTTACCATTTCTTCCCGTTTTTGCCTCCATCTACATTCCTTCCTTCCTTCCTTCTTTCCTCCCTCTCTCTACCTCCTTCCGCAAAGTCGCCCGGACACCAGCCTTATTTGGTTTCTGGGCCCCCTGAAGTCCATTCGTTACTTCATCTGGCACAACTACCGCTGGCTGATCCTCAAGGTCCTGGGGCTGATACTGCTGCTGCTCATGCTGGGCGTCTTCCTCTACTCACTCCCTGGCTACCTGGTCAAGAAGATGCTGGGGGCCTGATGCGCTGGTAGCCTCCGCCCCCTCCTCTCTGTCTTTGCTTCTCTATTTAGACCCTTTGCATCCTGGATTTTCGTGTCCCAGCTCCTCTTCTCCTGTCCTGCCAAAACTCAGTTTCTTTGTTTTCTCTTGTTTACTCCTCTGTTGTCTCAGCTATAGAATAGTCTCTTTTTTGCTGTATATTGTCTCAAATATTTGCTCAAGCCAGTGTCTTTTGCCACCAAGTGCCATTACACGTCTTAATCGACCAACTGTTCGGTATAGAAACACACAGGGACGTTTTTTTAGGCCTTGGAGAGCCAGGCAGCCACCAAATGCCTCATATACATATTCAGCAAATAGGATGGATGGTAGAGGTGGGAAAGATTCACATGTTTCCAGCTTGCAAGTTGTCACGACCATGGTTGATGTGCATTGACAACATAACACAATACTCTTGAGTTAATGACTTAAGCTGACAAGAGGCAGCTATGTTTCTTTGGTTTTCTTTTGTTATGTGTTCAGGAAAACTGCACCTAAAAAAAGAGAATAATATAATAATCACACAAGAATATGAATAACTGTTTCAAGTGTTCTGTATCATATCCTGAATATGAATACAATCAGGAGTTGAATTAAACTAAAATACAATTATAGTATTGACAATGAAAGCATCAAACCCCTCAGAGGTACCAATGGTTGTCTGGTTATAAAAAAGACTGGAGAAACATCAGTGTTTGGAGTTGTTGGTCAGTCATCCATCCATTTTTATCAACATATTATTAGAAATGTGAGCATGCTGTTGTAAAAAAACACATCCAAATAGATGCAACACTAATGCCAGCTTTCTCTTTTACCCATGTTTCATCCCATTTCTCTCTCCCCTCACTCACCCTTCATTAACTCCTTCCTCCATCCACCTTCACCAAATTCTTTACTTTCCTCTTCCTAAAATCTCCATCCCTCTAGCCGCCCTGACACTACCTTCCTGTGGTTCCTGAGCCCACTGAAAGCCATCCGCTACCTGGTGTGCAACCGCTACAAGTGGCTGATCATCAAGATAGTGCTTGCCCTACTGCTGCTCATCATGCTGGGCCTCTTCCTCTACAGCATGCCGGGCTACCTTGTCAAGAAGCTGCTTGGGGCCTAAGAGGCTGCTGGGAGGACTGGGAGGGGGGTGGCCAGCCGGATAGATGGGGGAGCTGGTGGGCGCAAACCAAAAGGAGAGTACGAGGAGTCTCACCCACAGGAAGGGAGGCACAGGGAGGAGAAAGCGCTTTGGAAGTACGATTACATTATTTTCTTCGCTGTATGGAGAGAGGCTGAAACCACCCAAAATTACTTTTTCCTCCAAGTCATGAGAAACACTAACTGTCTAATCCTCCATCCAACCTGCAGCAAGCCTAAAGAAATGAATGCTCAGTATCTGAACTCCTGACTAAAAAGCAATCATTTTCTCAAAGTGTTGTAACCCAGGATATCCTTCTTCTTTTCAAGCAATGTTACATGACAATGAATGTGTCTTTATCTGTTTATTCAACTTTTAATCAGATTGCATGGACATTTATTTCAAGTGATGCTGTTGAATCTTAATCCCATTACTGCTACAATGTCTGCTGTTGTTTTAAGTTAATAGTCAACAAACGAACATTATGTTTGATAACGCTTTGCTTTAAACCCTATTTTTAGCATTTATAAGCACTATATTCACATTTAATAAAGGGTTAACTGTATAACACACTATGAGCAGAAATAAGGACATTAAAGTGTTATTAATGTACAGTTATTGTCAACAATTCTAGGTTCTCCTGTGAAGACATTTTATATTATTACATCTGTATTTTACTATATTATCATTTATTATCTGTTTATACAACATCCTCCTTATGGGTGCCCACAGGAGGAGTTATAGTTGTTGACAAATACATTAATAAACACTTATACTGCTTATAAATGCTGAGTAGGGGGGATTAAAGCAAAGTGTTATAATGTTTTTAAACTATTATAGGTTTTGCAGTCTTTGCACACTTCACTAATAATAATAATAATAATGTAGAAACAAAAATATAGATGTCTATTTTCCTAATTAAATCCAATGAGACATAGAACAAGATGACTCCAAAAGGGATTTGACAGGGTTAACTTCCACTTCAATGTTAAATCTCTTGGATCTAAGCAAACAAGCCAGACGGGTCAAATAGTATTTGCAAATAATTATTAAAAAAGAGAATAAAACTAAATGTTAGTCTAGTTTAAACTTAAAAGCAACAAATACTTAAAAGATTACTACTGTTTTCTACCATATTGTCCATATGCATGCATCATTGTAATAATTGACCACAGAGGTCATGTGTGTTGGCATGACTGTCTCTCCAAATCATCAACCTTCCTATTTTTGACTTTACAGATAATGTAAAGATGATTTCATGGGAATAATATTTAAGTGCACTTGAGTGAAGTGGTAAAAAGGGGGTCTGGGGTTGATTCTCTAAACTCTGGCTCCATATCGGATGGCATTGTTTGCAGTGTCTCTTAATCCCCCTTTCAAATTTGCCTGCGCCTGACCTCATTTGTGTTGAAGTCTTTGTTTGTAATTCTGTCTGTCACTGATTACAGAGTTATTGATTGCACTAAACTTGCCTGTTTTTACAATTTGTGTTTGTATATCTGGTGAAATGTGTCCGATATTTATTTTTTGTCTCTTTTGGCAATTTGAAATAAACTGAATTACATTGACAAGATTCCGATTGCCCTGAATATAACATAGCTTACATTTATTACACTTATTCGATACTGTATCAAACTGCGCCCCCCAACAAGTGTCTGTCAGTTTAGTAATGACAACTGGTAGAAAGCTACAGGTTGCATGGCATGTAGGATAGTACGCCATAAAAACGTTCTTAAAAAAGTCATAGTACAGTATGTCAGGAAAAGGTTATATATATATCACAAAACATCATAGTATAGTGTTTCATAAAAATAAAAAAATTATAGTGTACGTCATAAAACATTCCTAAAAAGCCATAGCAAAATAATTTTGCAAATAGCATAGAATATATTATAAAAATGTCAAAAATGGCATAAAGTATGTCAAAAAGAGTCGTAACAGTATGTCATCAAAAAAAGCATACCTCATGAAACTAAATGTGATATAAAGACAATGTGCATGTCATAAAATGTCAATGAAAATGTAATAAAAAGTAATTTTACAGTATGAAATAAAATGTCATAATAAAACTGGCTTAGTATAGTATGTCATAGATAAAATTATTAAAATAATGTCAGAATAGTACTCAGTGTGATAAGGGAGGAGGGGGCTAGTATATTATGTCATAAAAAAAACAAAATATAGTTTGTCACATTATGTACATTATGTTGAAAAAAGACGTAGTATAGGATGTCAAAAAGTGTGATAATATAGTCAAATGACAAAAGTCATAGTATAGTATGTTGGAAAAAAGTGAGAAAAATATTGTATTATGGTTGAAAATTAGTCTAGTGTGTCATTAAAATTCCTTAAAAATTATAGTATGATATGTCAGTCAAAGTCATAGTATAGTCATAAAAACCTTTCACAAAACGGCATACTATAGTATTCCATTAAAATGTAATGTGAGAATTTAATAACATAGTACACAGTATAGTATGTCAAAATATGTAATAAAAAGATGTATAGTATGCTATAAAAATGTAATTAATTCAAAATAAGTCATAGTATAGTATGCAATTAAAAAGGTCTTCAAAAGTCGGAATATTAACTCAGACTATAATATGTCAGACATGTAATTAAAAAAGTTATAGTATATTCTAAATAAATGTCATAGTATCGAATGTAATTAAAAGTACTAAAAAAGTAATTGTATAATGTGACATAAATAAGTCATAAATACCATTTACTATACTATAGTTAAATTAAATTTTAATCATCTGTGCTTCACCTCATTTACATTTAACACACTACTCGACTACTGCCTCACAATGCACCCCTTAACAAGCCTCTGTCAGGTTGAGAATCACATCTTAGATAACTAGTTTCATGGTGGTGCTCTGCCACTGTCCCTGAAATTACGTTACACCGACTGGTACTTGATCGTTGTTAGGATTTGCGGACTTAGTGGGAGTTTATAATGACTTTGTTATAGTAATGAAAGTGTTCGTAATATCCTACTTCCACCAGCGTAATTATTTAGCCCACTACTGTTCTTGGCTAGAGACCTACTCTGCGTGGCTGGTTGAGGCAGAGATGATTGGTTAGGACTAGGCATTGATCTTGAGGAGTTAGGGTATGATAGGCCATTGAGAAGGACATAGGACCTGAAAAAATCAAATTACCGGTACCTCGGTGAGCATGGACGCCTGGCCAATCCTTGAGTTTGAATGCTACGCAGGTCCGGTCTCGCCAAGAAAAGCAGTGGGATTCCTAATAACGCTTCCACCCCTGTGACATATTCTCCAGAACTTTGCATGGAAATAATGAATGAAGATGAGTGCTGTTTAATCTCAGAATCTCTCTGTGCAGTCGTCCCAGTACCAGCATGTCATGGCTACTGAGCCCAGTGAGGACGATGTGTATCCTGGCCTGGAGGCAGTACAGGCTTCGCTGTGCGGTGCTGCTGGCTGCTGTGCTGGGTCTGCTTTTCCTGGCTCTGCTCTTCTACTCTTTCCCCTCAGAGCTCAGCCATAAGCTGTTCAACACTGCTGGATAAAACCACCGTATTGTACTATTTTGTATCCACTTTGTATCCCATTTGAACTGTTCTTACCAATATTGGAGTTACTTGTTACAATTATTTGTTTTTTATAAGACTGTAAAAATAAAAACTGCAACCTCTCCATTATCTATTATTTTACAGTGAATATAAATCCTTTTACACATCCTCTAAAGATTCCTCACACTGTCCCAGTTCTGCTGATTCCAAGTTGAGTTTGGATTACGGCATCTAACCTGTAAGAGAATCAAAGATGTCAGATGAATGATCTTGGAGTGATGAGGAGAGGCATTCATTTCTGCCCGATATAATGTATAGATTGGATTATTTGAATACACTAGGGCTGACACTAACTATTATTTTTCCTTATTGTTTTATCTGCCAATTATTGTCTTGATTAATTCATTGATCTTTTTGTACTATAACATGCCAGAAAAATGTACATAACAGGTTTCCACATTTGCTTGTTTTGCTCGACCAAAATTATTCAATTAGCTACTCGAATGTGGCAAAGGAAAGCATTTTCAAATCTTATTTACTTACTTTACATAATTTAGTTAGTCAATAGACTAAGCAATTAATCATTTTGCCGAATACAAGGTGTATAATTATAAAAAACACTACATTACATTATGATATTATGCATCTCGCTTTATAGTACCTTACTGCTTTTTTACTTTTTCCCATACTATAGCTAGGAAAGTTCTTCAATCCTCACACTAATTGAATACCTGGAAAACAATGTGACATATACAAGAAAACTATAACAGATACATGAACATGAACACACACATACTCAGTTCAAAGACTGTTGCAGCAACATCCGCAGCTCTGTGTTCTCCTGCTCCAGACTCTGAGTCTCAGGGACGAGCTCAGAGATCTCTGTCAGGACGGCCCTGGAAACAAAAAAACACAAAACAAGTGAGTACAGAGGGTGTTTGCATTGTGCGTGCATGCGTATGCGTGCGTGTGTGTGTGCATGGGTGTTACTGACAGGTACTGCTGTAGTGTGTTCTCTGTGGCGTCCCAGAGTTTCACTTTGTCTTCAGAGATTATATTGCCCATATTCTCCCAGTAGGCTTCATTCTCTGAAGTATTCCAGGCCTCTACATGAAAACTATGATTTTGGCTCGCTGAGCTCTCCCTTAGAAAGCACCAGAAAAACATAAGCATCACATAGAGAAAGACTGTGGTGTCATAATTTCATGTTCAAATCTCACAGACAGTACAATTGACAACCCTAATACAGCCTCTGTTGGTGTGGAGATACAGTAATGATTGAGAGTAATCTATTGCTCATGAATAAGTAGTTTAAATTAGTGCTTACCTGGACCTCATGTGCTGCTCGAGGAAACTCTTTAGAGCAGGCAGAATATGGTTAGGATTGATGAATTCAGAGGTCAAATGAGTCATAGCCTTGGTCTCCAAATCCTCTTCCTTGTTACTGGATTCACCCGACTCAACACAAACATCCTGCAGGCAGACAAAATAGTACTAATTACAATCCTCTTGTATGTCAAAGACTCAAGGCTATATTTTCCACAAGCATTAATCCACAGCAAACCTGATCTCTGCCCCTCCTGACCTCAGTCTCTTCTCTCTGCTGATGTTTGTACTTTAATAAGAATTCAGCCAACTTGGGCACATCCTCCTCTTCCATGCCAAAAGACTGGAAGAGAAGGCAAGATGGCAGGTTGTTCAGTATTTGATCCATACAGTCCAACAGTACACTGATGCATTACACTACATGAACTCACGCAAAGCAGAGAGCCCAGCTTCACAACAGTCTGTTCTTCCTTCTCCAGAGGAGCCAGTAGGTTTAGGAGTTTATCCTCCATCAGGAAGCCCTGAGACAGAAGGAAGGGACACTTTTGGTTGAAGATGCTTGTCACATAATGTCATAGATGATTGAATAGAGTTACTAGAACAACCAAAACCTGTTCCAAAATTCACACAGGCCCCTGTTTTTAAACCTATCATTTAATAGTTCAACATTTTAGGAAATACTTATTTGTTATTTGGCTGAGAGTTAGGTTAGATGATTGATTCTCTTCTGTATGGCATATATGAAGCTACAGCCAGCAGCAGCTTAGCTTAGCATAAAGACTGGGCCAAAGGTAACAAAACCCAGCCATCAGAACATGTAAAGCCCACAAATGAACACATAACATATTTGTATTAGCCATACACGAATCAAAGTGTAAAATCAGCATGTTGTGTTATGGGGTTATGTACCAGACTTTTCTTGGAAATGACTTCATGGTGTCTTGTCTCAGTGTGACTAGAAGAGACTTAAACCATTTAAAGGACGGACAAGAGAGTGTTATTGATCTTTTTTATCTTATATTTATTTAACTAAAGTGTATCTCCTAAAATGTAGATTTCCTTTAATATATTGTATGCTTAAAGACATGTTATTACTCATTGTTTTGATGTAAATATATTTATCATTTGAAAAAAAAGACTTGTGTCAACTTCTTGTCCGCTTCTGTACACACATCTGCTTAATCAACTCTTCCAGTGATAAACATTAACAATGAACTTGTTTCTCACCGCCTCATCACACAGCAGCTCCATCACTTTTTTCAGTGTCTCCAAAGACTGCTTCCCTTCCTCCACCTCTGCACCACTCTCACTCTGCACCGTTTTCCCTTCCTTGTGCATTTCCTTATCCATGCTCTCAGTGTCAGTCTCCGGCCTAGGCCCAACTGAGAGATCCATCATCCTCTGACTACACTGTAAATTCTGCCCGGCGTGAAACAGCTGGGAGACAGTCTGGCGGGCAGGCATCCTGGCCTGTTTCTGAGGCTGGATGGGACCAGAGAGCTCCATGAATTCCAGGGGAGTTCGCTCCCAGGCTAAACCAAGGTGCTCCTTGCAGATCAGCGAGTCGATGACCAAAACCCTCTCCACTAGTTGCTTCACCTCCGCATCAATCATAAGCCACATCTCCTCAAATTGTCTGGCATCAGCATCTGCAAAGTGCCTGCATGAAGTGGATGGAGGTGTAAAGAAAAGAGAAGAAATTCTGTCCCACAGCATGTCAGTGTTACTTAAAACAGGATGATTATGACTTACTTGATATTCTTCTGAATGTGTTCGTATTGCTGGATTTTGTGTTTGTATTCCTCAGGCAAATGCTGGCTCTTTTTTGTAAACTGTTTGTTCTCACTGGAAGACTTAGTACGAAGGTTTCTAATCTCTATGTCCAGTCTGAAACACAAAACCAGCAGAACAAACAGAGAGTGAATTAGATATACCAGTGTGTACGTGTGTGTGCAGGCATGCGTACATACGTGCATGAGAAAAATCAACTACCTGATGGCCCTTTTCTTCATACGGTTCAGATTTAATCTCTGTACTGGTACCTCAACTGTTGGCTTCATTAGTTTTAGAGCCGTGATTATTTGGCTGGCCTTTTTGTGTTGATGGTGTCTCTCCAGAACCTGCAGAGGCAAAACTGGAATGTTAGGGCACTCAAATACTGGGCTTTTGTATGTCAAATGGTAACCCAGTTGAAACGTTTCTTCTTGGCAATGTAATCACAATCACTACTTCTATATACTATATTATTGGTTTCTGAGGCTGATCACAAAAGTTTCATTCAAAGGATAAGCTATTGGTGTCCATCTTGATATTTGTACAAACCTGACAGCTCATATTCCATTTTTGCTGAAAATAGCCATTGTTGTCAATGGTCTCCAACGTGTGATTTTGAACTTTTGCATCATACTCCTCCACTTTTTTCATCCACTCCATTGACCTCCCCAGCTAGAAATAGATAAGATATCATTAGATACAGAGTTGATATACTGTATGTTAGATATAAGATATGAATGAAGATGAAAGCAGACTGAAGGTTGAGTATGCATGTGTAGCTGTGTGTGTGTGTGTGTGTGTGTGTGGTTTATTTTAGTTCTCCTGACCTCTTCCTCACAAAGTTCCATAATGCGTTGTTCCCATTCAGTCTTGTCTTTTGTAAGTAAGACTTCACTTTCCAGCTGATAAACTCTCTACATACAAGGGCAACCATTAGTGGGAATGACAACATTGGCATAAACAAGACTAAAAAGAGTGGACAACCATGGTAGCAGCACAGCGGTGCTTTGAGCTAACTGCTAACTTTAACATGATAACATGCTCACTAGGCTAACAAGCTGAGGTTAGGCACTTTAATGTTTATCATGTTCACCATCTTAATTCTGCACGTTAGCAAGCATGCTAACATTCTAAACACAAAGCACATCTGAGGCTGATAGAAACGTCAGTTTTGCAGGTATTTGGTCATAAACCAAGTGCTGGAAGAATATAAAATTTGTATCTGATGATGCTAGATCGAAAGTCAGAAGATCACCAAAGTTATTACAAAAAAATCATGAGGGAGACATGAGTGCTTCTGTACTAAATTTCATGGAAATCCATCAAAATTTTGTTGAGACATTTTACTCAAAATCACAATGTGAACCTCATGGTGGTACTGAAGGGGATCCTTGTCATTCATAGAGCCATGCTAGCCAGAAAGATAAAACAATCGTGCAAATTGAATCAAGACAATAAATGAATTCCCTGTCGCTCACTGACGCATCTGATTACCCTTTGTAGATTAAAATGCAATCTATAAATTATTTAAAGCTGCTTCTTGACTGAGATCTGGGTCCCACCGAAATCTGGGCCAGCTCCTCCCTGTAGGCCTTTGTCAGGGTTTTGATCTGGTTCTTCATCATCTCTATCATCAGGTCTAGCTCCTCTTCCTGCTTCCTCAAGTCCTTAACAAAACGATCATCTCCAACTTTCATCTCCTGTTCAGACAACACACAGGAAATTAACTTATGAATGGACAAGGCCACTAGCTACGAAGATATATAGATAGATATATAGATATATAGATAGATAGATAGATAGATAGATAGATAGATAGATAGATAGATAGATAGATAGATAGATAGATAGGCGTACCTGTTGCAGGTCTTTTATAAGTTTTTTATTGTCTTCTATGATAGCAGCACATAACTGCTGCTGGTTGTTCAGGGCCTCCTGGAGATCCTGAGGGATCACCTTCTGCTTGGCTATCGACCAGCCTCTGGTGATCTCCTGGAATATCTCCTGACTGGATTTGACTTCATTCTCCAGCCGCTCCAACCTGGACCAAGATGGACAAACATGATGAAAAACAGGAGGAAAGAAAGACAAAAGGGTAAGGATGGTGTGGACGATGTATAGAAAGTCAGATTACCCCTTTGTTTTTTTAAATGTATGTTTATATGGTGTTGGTTTAGGTATGGTAGTAAAAGAAACAATGGTGAATTAAATGAAATTACCTAATTCTCCGAGCTTCCTCTAACTCTGTCCTTCGCATGGACTCTTTGGCGTCAGCTGCAACTTGGATGTTGGTTACTAATGTCATCAAATCTCTCTGCATGTTGATCATCCTCTGAGGAGTGATTAGCTAACACAAAAAAGGACAGTTTCTTTCTGAGTACATGGCAGGAAATTGCTCTCAAGTAAAATAGTAGGTCACTATATTAACAATAATATAACCAGTAGCTAATTTTGAAAAATACATAACTTAATATCACTTGATATCACCGCCCTTGTAATGTCAAATTAAGTGAACTAAAATGCAACAGGAGCTTGCTCAAATTGTGGCAGCGAGCACCCACACACACACACACACACACACACACACACACACACACACACACACACACACACACACACATATATATATTTCATATTTACAATTTGCCTATATTAGCTTAGTTTAATCCAAACAATTAGCCATAATATTACAATTCGGCATTACTTTAGCCACAAAAGGATTTGGAAACTAAACAAACCTTTTCACTTTCCTCAACCTCCTCCTCTGGAGGCTGGCTCTCCGAGGCTGGCTCCTCATCGAGCTCCTCATCGAGCTCCTCGCGGGCCTCCATAGTGGGGTTTACTTCAATATCCTGTGTGGAGACCCTGAAGGTTGTATGTAAACGAAATGATGTAAAAAATAGATTAAAACTGCAGTCTCTGAATATTACTAACCCACATGATATTATTATTATAACTATTACCATAACAAATAATCCATGCTGCAAGACAACCAACATTACAATAGGATTAATACTTTTTCACGGTATTTACGGTAACGTTAAACGTTAACTAGCACACTTACGTGTTCTTAGCCTCTTGATTTTCGGACAACACAGAAGGTTCAGACTCCTCTTCTTGATCCTTATCAACTTCTTCTATATTAAGAGTCTGCTGTATGGACGTTATTGGCATAAACTGTTAAATATTGTAATGATCGTGGAGATAACAAAGTAACAGGTCTGTGTCGCCGCAGTCTGTTTGGTAAACGTTGGTATGGTGACAGTGCAGAGTGACGCGTGCTGCCTTCAAGTGTCCCTCGTAAGATTTAAACTTCAAGATCATGTACACAAAAAAACAACAAAAATAACAACATACTGCATATTTAGAAATTATTTTCTTTATGTTTCACTTTCAACGCTCTCTGGCTCTGAGCCTTGCAGGTTTTCATTCAGCATGTAGGTAGTTTTTGTCTACAAAGTGTATTAACATTTTTTTTTATTTGCTTTATATCTTAAATAAAAAAGTAATAAAATTCCAAAAGTACAAATGAAGAAACAATAATTCTGTGGCCCCAAGAAGCTCATGAGACAAAGCTTGGACGTCCACTAGCAGATGCTGATACACCAATACAGAATAGAGACACAACAGGGACTATGCATCACATTGATTCGATTTTGAATATGTGGATTATCACAAAGAATCAAACAACACAGGGCATGATGTTTGTCTGTCCTTTGTGCCAAGATGGTGAGCACTTCCAGGAAATTAACCTTGTTTTGAGTGGTTGACGATCGACAATATACAGCAAGATATAGATACATTTTTCACATTATAGTAGTAGCAATGCCGAGAGAGTGAACCACCGAGTCTGGCATACAGCATAAGTGGCGTGGTGCTGCCATCTGGTGGCAGCATCATATTTCCAAACTTCTGTAATATAACTCAAGGCAGGTTTTGGACATTCTGCACCACACCAATATTGTCTGTTTTCTCCAAAAATTTATTTTTTCTGGAAAGGTTTGGATTCAGTTTTTTACACATGTTTTATTGGCAAGGCTCTATGGTGACCATTTAGGAAATTAAAATTAAAAGGCTCATTAACTCATAGCATTTTTACAGGACAGGTACAGTGGGTACGGAAAGTATTCAGACCCCTTTAAATGTTTCATTCTTTGTTTCATTGCAGCCATTTGCTAAAATCAAAAAAGTTCATTTTATTTCTCATTAATGTACACTCAGCACCCCATCTTGACAGAAAATAACAGAAATGTAGAAATTTTTGCAAATTTATTAAAAAAGAAAAACTGAAATATCACATGGTCATAAGTATTCAGGCCCTTTGCTGTGACACTCATATTTAACTCACATGCTGTCCATTTCTTCTGATCCTCCTTGAGATGGTTCTACTCCTTCATTGGATTCCAGCTGTGTTTAATTAAACTGATTGGACTTGATTAGGAAAGGCACACACCTGTCTATTTAATAAATGGTATTAATTTGCATGCAATAAAAATGGCCAAATATTGATTAAAAGTTTTTACAGTGAGGGAAAAGTATCATTAAACATTAAACACTGCTACAAGTGAGGGCTTTAATGTTTAATGTTCTTCATTTTGAGCAAAATGAAAAAAGTGACATGAGCTGCAACTTCAATGTTATATTCAGAAGCTGACTGGAGGTGGCGCTACAGTCTTGTGATCAAAATTCTAATTAGGATCCACAAACTAATATACTTGAAACGTTTCCTTTTTGACAAGATGCATGTTTCAAACACATGCAGATTAAGCAGCACTCTCATGTGCAACGTTCAAAAACAAATCCAGTGCACTTACATGCTTAAAATTCAGACTTTCTAATTCACCCACACACTCCAAACAAATGATAAATGTCTTCTCAAGCTGATGGCAAGATGGGCACTCTCTGGATGTTGACACAAACAAATCCACACATGGGTCAGATGTTCCTGCCCTGAGGAGTGCCCCCCTACCGTCCCTGCCCGTTGGCAGCTATCATGCTCGCCATCACCCCCCCGGGGCACCTCGCCGCTCTTTTGGCCTCAAGTGGCCTCAGTTGCTACTGAGCCAAAAGGGATGTAAGTCAGCCAGCAAAGGTTTCTGACATATGATCCAGCATCTGTGATGTCACCAACAGCTGACTTGTCATAAGACCTTTGTGAAAGGGGGGAAGTAAGGGATGAATGAGGAGAAGGCCTTATTTTCAACAGACCCTTAGCTGGAACGCTGAGTGCTTTTGCATCAAGCTTCAGAGATTACAAACTGAATGACTGCCATTAGAGAGTGATTCTATAATCTATTATAATACCATAAGCTAGGGATTGACAGACTTTGACCCCCACTCGCAGGTGTATAATAAGCCCCATTCACTCTGCATATGCTTCGTGAGAGAGGGTGCATGAGTGTGTGTCTGCTAATTCCAACCCCCAGGGGCATATGTTTACTCCTTCTTCAACAAAGCATCATATTCATTGCTCAGGGGTTGAGAGGTGCAAAATCTAAGCCTGACCTTCAGCCAGTTAACCAACTCACAGCTTAGAGTGTTGGTGGTGGGGAGGGGTTGCATAACAACTTAAGTCCTGCCTAACAGTTTCTTAATATTGCAATAACGAAGGAGACGTTTGCTGCTCCGTAACACGGGGGTGCACTGTACAGAATACAGAAGAGTGGAGGCCGGCTGCAGAGGACAGCAGAGAATTCAAAGGCATTTAGTCTAGCGGAGGCCGTGACCTTCTCAAAGAACAAATCATTCATTTAACAAGAATTAGATTGAACAAACAAAAGGGGAAGGCCAGATTCAGGAACAACATGACAAGTCTCTGCCTACTCCTCTATCAAATATGAAATGTACTGGCCTTGTATCAAGGTAACTTGTGCAAAGAAAAGTATGTTTTGCCATCACCAGGAGCAACTATTGCAAACGGGTATACAGATTTCCCCCAACATAACTATGTTGCCTCTAAATGTTCAGCTGCACAACCTTCACATAGAGAGATTCAGGGATTTGTTGCCCTCATAATTGTAGTAACTAAAATGATATCAAGGTCTGTGCAGTGAAGCCCACGTCTCTTACAGTCCTCATTTCTTATCAGGCATGGTCTGAGGAGGGGTTTGTGTTCAGCCACTGAAACATCGACAATCCTCAGTTCAGCTCCAGCCGTCATGCTCCAACATTTCTGCTTTATTCCCTCTTCAGCTATAAAAAAAAGTAAACTAACGAGTTCAAACATTACAGTTACCCAGAGCTAAAGAAAAGAACAAATTGTTGCACAATTTTATGGTCTGGATTTATAAAAATGACAATTTTTATTGTCCATCAGCATTCAAGAGAACAATTGATTGTTTTCTTCATCTAACATCGGCTCTATTTGAGGAGGTTTTTAGATGATGACAAACTTGTTAACTGTACTTTCTTTCTAGAAATGTATCAATACAATTTTTTATTTATTTAAACTGTTGGAGTCTAGTTTTGGAATAATACTGGCGTTTTTATAGCGTGTGTATTTTAGATACAGTGTGCATTTATGACCAAATTACAATTATTACAGATGGTTTTGTCCCAGTGCATTGCTGAAGGGACTAGATTTTTGAATTAAAATGAAACTGTGCAAGGCACTACTATGCTACAATGTTTAAATTTAAGATGAATTTGTTACCATTTTGTATGTAAATCAATATGCAATAACTGCCATAATAATTTATTTTGCAAATTTCTACAGATTGTCCATTCTAGTGGTCATATAGTTTTCTACAAAATGTCTAACACATAAAAACATTCTCCTTTTAATCCAGCAGAGAACTAGAGCAAGCAGTCAAGATCAAGATATTAGTCAGTTTACAAAATCATATTAATTTCTTCCACATAAACTGTAACACTTTGTAACTTACAGTAATTTATTATTCTCAGTCATTGTTTCTTATCAAAGCTCTTTGAGAGTGGATTAGGTGTACAATAATTATGTGTGGCATTAGGCCATGATTACTAATGGCTTGTGTTATTTTTGTTGCACTGCAGTCGGTTCAGTGAGAGAATAAATCAGCTGCCTTTATCATCGCATTGTATCATAAACCATACACAACGTAGCCCATTTAAAACAAGTAATGAAGCTTTGGGGTTATTCAAGTGTGTAAAAGTGTGCACACTTACAGTTAAAATGAAAAATGTTGTTCTTGCAGCTAACTAAAAAAATCTTTGTATCTCTTTTACACAGCGACAATGAAGACTCCAAAGCTGACCTATAATAAAGGTGGCTGCCTCTATCTCTCAAGGGAAAGTATGAGGGACCAAAGACTAGGAAATTAAATACTTCAACTTTAAAAAAAATACTGTCTTTTTGTCAGATGTGGAGCCAACAACTAAATATCATAGATCTAAATCCAGAGTCCGACTCACGAGGCACTTTACAACCTAAAACTGCTGAACTAGAGCATCTGTTTTGGTCAGTTTTGCAGTGTACATGGGACAATTTCAAGAAATGCAGTGATTTAAATGTGTTTATATGAATAAATGTCGCTGCATACAGAAGTCTGTCAGCTAATGATCCAAAGTAATTTGGCAAAATGTGATGTAAGGCTATAAACCTTAGCTGAAAACAGTGATGGGAAGTAACTAAGTACATTTACTCAAGTACTGCACTTCGCTATAGTTTGGTGGTTGAATTATATATGATGCTACTACCACTGTATTTCAGATGGAAAATGTGTTGGTAAATAAATACATGTTTTAAGACATATTACATCTACTCATTCTCCTGCATAGTAACATCCCAGTAAATGTACAAATATTGCTATTTTTGAAATCAAAAAGAAAAGATATCTCCCACTTTTCTATTTCAAGTTTCCCCGCCACACTTCTGGTTGCATATTGATCCATGATTGGCTACTAACCAGTTGTTCACAAAAAGCACTTTCTCCTCTTCAGCAGATGAATGCAGGCTTCTGTGTCAAACTCTAAACATACATCATTCTGCAGAGAGAACTAATGTGCAAAAAAACTAAAAGAGTAGAGGGGGGCAGGGGTTAAAATGAGCTCCATGTACATTATTAAACGTCTGCTTATAAGTTAAGGCATTTATAGTCCAATGCTAACAATATAACATAGGATATAGTAGGCTAATGCACACCAAATGTAGACATAATGAGTACTTCTTCTTTTAAAGCTGCAGGCTACATTTTTCTGCCAAACTTGTGCTCTCTGAATGCAGGACTTTTCATTGTAAAGGAGTGTTTTGATTGGGATATTACTACTCCTACTACTGAATAGTTGTTTCACCATTGACTGTAAATCACTACACAGCTTTTTCCATCGGTTCTCTGATTAACGTGGCGGCCTCAGGTCCATTTTTGCCGGGACCTTTCATGACGTTCAGGCCCGCTTAAGGACCCGGTGTGGTGCAGAAAAAGCAACGAGGCTGAACGGGAATCAAAGCTGTCATTCTTGAGCTGCGGGCCGCTCAACACACTCCACTGTGCGGGAGCGCGAATGACAAAAGCCCGTGTCTTTAGCCGCAACCGGATCATGACTCGGCATATGCGTAATGCTCTTAGACCTGCTGATGGCCAGCAGTGGCTGCGCTCCACAAGACCAAAAAGCCAAAGGAGTTTAACGGATGTGTTGCTGCGATTATTTGGCCAATCTTTATCCCACATCTAGATTAGCTGCTAATGACGGAGGAAAAACCTCGTTGCAAAAAACACACGCCATGCAACCCGAGAACAAGGGCCATTACTGTGTGAAGAAACAGGTTTAACCACAACACAACACAGGCTCTTTAGGCGTATAAATGCAGTCACATTCATGGAGTATTTAGGCCCTTTAAGCACAGCAACATAAATACTCCAAGTAAAAGGTATGCATTCAATGTAGAGAGGTAATAGCAAAAGTACTTTAAAGTATAAAAAGTAGAAGTACTAATTGTGCAGATCGTCCCAAGATTCAAGATTATCATAATGGATATTTAAAAAAAAATAAATCAAAATACAAAAGTATTTTAAAGTTGTAGATGGTTGGGGGTCATTTGAACTGAATATCTATTAAATTGCATTGTATGTTGAGAGATTGTCATGTATTTTTAATGCACATTTTAATCTGAAATGTAACTGGTGCAATCGTAGTAAGGTACAATATTTCCATCTAAAATGTAGTAGTATAAAGTAATGGAAATACTTAGTAATCAAGTCCTTGAGTAAATACACGTACTTACTTTCCACCACTTTAATTAAACTAAACCATAGGCAGTGGTTAAATTACAGCACATGCATCTGTAGGTTTTTTCTGACGTAAAAACATTTATTTGGGCTTATGCATTCAAAATTAATCACTTCACAGCAAATACATTTCTAACAGGAAAATTCATCAATTCAACACCCATAACTCATAAAGGAGACATAAATGAGACTTCACTGTCATGAGCAGTCAGAAGCCCCCAAATTAAGTTAAACATCTGTGGAAAATGACAAAGCACATTAAAAGCTTTATGCAACCACAAAAAACACTGACTGGAAAACAGGTAACATCACAGTGTGGTACTCTGGAGTGCTCTTACATTATGTCTTTATCTACTCCCCCCCCCACCCCACTGATGTGCCTCCCCTTCTTACAGCAGATACATGTCACCACTAATGGACATCAAGTGCTTCCTTTTTTTTGCAGCTCTCTTCTGGACATACATTAGAGACAGAAAACACGTTTTTTTCAACCCATAAGTAGAGCTCATACACGCACTCAAGCCACTCTTTCTGGTGACAGCGATGTGCATCAGGCTACAGGATGCACTGAAAAACACGAAGATTGTTAACGAGTTGAAAGGAAGGAGAGGCCGGTATCTGTGCAGCAACATGAAGAATAATCTGATTAGTAGTTTATAAAGTTAGACGTTATTTGATTCAAACAAACAGCCTGCTTAATATAGATACAAAATGTCACAAATTAAAGCTTATCTCAAATTACGGCAGTAAGGGGCAGACTCAAACACAGTCCGTGTATAATTTATTTGTTTGTTTTGCTGAAAAATTCTGAAAATATTAATTCTGCATGCTTTTGTTTTATGTGTTTCAAACACCATTTATTACATTTTGAGAAGAATATTTTGAGGATATGAAAGCAAATGTAAAGCAAAAGAAAGCAACAACAACAAGAAAGCAACAGGTGCCCAAAGCATTTCATTCTTATATCTGGATTCTTGAAGTCCTCTGAATACTGATCACAGTCTCTTGAAAACAAACAGGCAACGCTGTTGTTCACTCTGCTACATTCAAACCTCAGGCACAAGATGATGAGGAGTCCAATCTTCTCCCGGGTTGTAACTTCTAATAAAAGAGTGTTGTCCTCTCTTTTAGTCACCGCCTGTCTCCTCCTCAGCTCAGTTTGTTCTGAATGTTCATCAGACTTGAGTATGACTTTGCCCGTTTGGCTGGGAAGAGACAGAACTTACATTACTTTACAGAAATGACAAAAAAATACATTTGACTTACTTTGAGCTATTCTAGAAATTAAACTACAAGATGTTTGTTAAATAGTTTTTTAAACGTGCATTAATAATATTCAAATTCAAGCCGAGATGGTTGTGATAAATGGACACTCTTGAGGGAAATAATGAAGTTAATAGGATTCCTGAAGGGCTGCAGATAAATCAACATGAATCTCTCTATTAGCATAGACATCGCTCATAAATTAACATATGAAGCTTCCGGTTCTGCTCTGAAAACAGAGAATTTGTGGGAAAATTTCATTCGCAAATCAGGATTACAGCCTCGCGGTTGTTGTAGTTTACCTCTATGTCTGTCCAAAATGTCATCATTTCATCCTAGTAGACATTTGTGCGGAATAGTCATAATTAGCATATGACGTATAGTGAGTTATGGCCAAAAACATTGAAGTTGGTGCCAAATTTGAAGAAATTCCCTCAAGGTGTTGCAAAAGTCATGGAGATGTGAGAATATGAGTCTATACAGTAGGTGATGTTACACTGTCAGGTGCAATAGAGGACGCTCCCCCATGGGCTGGTTTCACAACAATATTTATATAGATTACGTTTGTAGTGCCTTCATTTTGTTTTAAGATTAGTCTAATGCAAGTAACAGTTTAAAAAAACGTCTCCTGCGAAGACCCTGAGAGAAAGGAAAAAACTTTGTCGGACTTAAAAAATTGGCAAAACATGATGATGATATGATCAACAGATGTCAATATGGTTTAAATTTATTTAAGGTATTTCTCTTTATTTCACTTCATCCTGAAACGCATTTAAACTCCAAATGTATTCAGATTAGGAATTACAATTCTAATCTGGCAGTTCTGAATAACGTGAAAGTTTTGATAAAATTCCAACATGACAAGTACTTAAATTACTCGTACGTGCTACTTAAGAACTAATCTGTCCCTACAAGTGTTTCCCAAAGTAAAACAGCGACCGCCCTCCTCAGTCTTTGGAAATGCTCTCTGATGCTTGAAGGCTACCATCATCCACCAATATGCACAAAAAAAAAAAAAAGTCATCTAACCTTATGATCCTGAGGTTTGCAGGAGGATACCCCACAATGCTATAAATCAACCTAGAACACTCCCTCCTTCCTCCATCTCTGCCAAACCCCAATATCACAGTCAGTCGTCAACCCCCCCCCTCCTCCACAAAGACCCCGAACCCCTCAAAACCCTGTCAAAAAATCTCTGTGTGTGACAATGAGCGAATTAAGCTGGTTACTCACGGTGTATGAGCTTGCGTTTCTTTTGTTCAGAGTGAAGGAAGCTGCTCAAGTAGAAGATGATGGGCAGAAAGAGCATGAAGCTGGACACAGCGATGACAGGCACCGTCTCCTCACGGGGGAAGGAACAATTGTACTTCTTACTCCACAGTATGCGAGTCATATTCATCTGAAACGAGGCAAAGTGCCAAACGCAACAGAAGCTTCAGTTGAGCACATAATTATAGGACACTATCAATTCGACTGTCGAATGTTTACTGTACTCAGGGACTCTACATCCTGCAGTTCTTATTTAAATTATAGAAGAGGATTCAGGAGCAAAATCCTGCAACCTCAACAAATATCCGTCATTCAATTTAATTTTCATTTTTTTTTTTTTTTTTTTTTTTTTTTAAATTTCTTGCATTTCTGATCACATTCCTGAAATAAAGGTCCAAGCTCAATTTTCCATTTTTGTCACGATTTATCATCATTCTAATATGAAATCAGCAATCATTGAGATACTGTAAGACCAAACTAAACCATTGAAAATAATATCTAATTTCATAATCATGGCTAAAACATCAACTCTGACGGCAGAAAAGGTTAAAGAAAACCACACTTTCTGTCTCTTCACAAAACTGACTTCTATAACTCCCTGACGTACATACCGCATCCTCTATGTCGATACACATCGTCTCATTTGTCTCCATTCTGCTGTACAGCTCATTCAGGCCTCTGTACGAGGTCTTGCAGTCTTTGCACAGTTCTGTTTGGTTCCCCTGTAAAGAACAGACATCGTCATCAACTTCTGAACACAAACGTGTAATAGACAGACGGACATCATCTCCTAATTCTTAATTCACGGCGTACCTGTTTATACTTGTTAAAGCAGGTGATAGTTTGGGTGTGCGCATTCAGGAAGTACAGCGTGTCATTGGTCAGGCTCTGGAATCCCTTAGTGATACATTCTACACAACAGGAAGTAAAAACATCGTTAGGTCTATTTATTCAACAAAAGTGGACAAATTTAAATCAGATGCACAGTAATGTTTTGTGATGGTTTCACATTGGTCGCATAAATTACTTTCCCCTATTTTATAAGTTTAGCAATACAATTGTTACGTAAAACCTTTGCTTACTGTTTAAAAGCAAAAAAAAGGTGTCTGCAGGAACAAACTTAAGTTGAAAAAATGTGTAAACCCTCATCTGTGAGGGTTTATTTCTTTGTTGCGTGTGATAGTAAACTGAATACCTTTGTTTGTCATGTAAAACAAGCTATTTGATGATATCACCTGCTGTGGGAAAGTTGACAGGCATTTATCACCATGTTCTGACATTTTAAAAACCTATAAACCAATTGAAAAATCAATAATTATTGAAAATAATTCTTACAAACCACATACTCTCTCTGGTGATGCAATTATCTCATAAAGTCACGAGCTGCTATGGGTCATACTGGGTATCGTTTGGCTGAAAAGTCTATAAAAATGAGTCACATGTTTGATCTGGGTTTCCACATCCACCGCCCGCTCAAATTAAAACCTCCCGTGCAAATCACTGAACTGAAGTTTCCTCAGCTTGACCCTGCACTCTGACCTCTTTGGTCAAATGCATACCCATCAGTGTGTGAGTCAGAAGTTCAAACAAAGGCCGACGTTCCCAATTACACACAAACAGTCACAATAATTCAGATATATGTACTTTAAATGAATGCAGAGGACTCACTGTCACAGTCTGATTTGATCCAAATGTCTTTCACGTTGCTGTAGAGCAGGTAGACCAGCATCAGCCGATCACTCCGCAGGAGGCTGTCCCTGCAGCTTTCATTACCAGCACCCATCTGAGGACACACAGGCACACTCATCATGTCATTCACTCTGATGTTTTTATGCTAAAAAAAAACAAGTTCCTCAGCTTTCTATTGATAGCAAGTGAAGCAGACGAATTCTTGTTTCCTCTAATTTGTCACCAGCAGTCAGTCACATCGCGAGACTCGTGACGCACAAACAGGGCTTGTCCTAGTTTTAGGGCAAACTAAAAAAAAAAAAAAAAAACAGAAAAAAAGGTATTCGTTACTGAGCACGCACCTGTTCTGACGAGATGTTCACATAGATGTCAGTGAGGATGCTATAATTGGAGAAACACATCTGGCAAACTTGAACGGGTCGGGCAAAAGTCGCCAAGCAGTTCACGTAGGCAGAATATCTCTGTCCGAATATTTTAAGCAGCTCGCTGCAGTAGACGCTGATCTCCGGGTATTCTAGGGAGGACGAGAGTAGATTGAGGGAGAACAGGGAGTCCTCACCGGGTTTAACCACAACAGCAGCTGCGGGGCTGAAAGACGAGGCTTGTTTCATCGTGTCCGCTAATTCTGTTGCGCTGACGTTTACTTCACCGCCAGACACGAGAGCATAAATGTATGATAATACTAACAAAACCAAAAACGAACTGTTTTTGTAAAGAGACATGGTTGAAAACGGAGATTAAAACGTCTGTTCCGCTTCTTTCACCACACACAACCCATGACTTCCTGGTTGTCTCCCAACGTGATCATGTGACTGCCTGGAATCTCGCGAGAGCAGATCGTCGTTTCACGGCATCAGTTATACTGTGACTTCACATCACAAATATATATATATATATATATATATATATATATATATATATATATATATATATATATATATGCTTTCACTTTAAGTCTATGTTCCCTCACAAAGCCTATTATTTATAGTACTTTTGCCACTTAGACTGGGAAAGAAAATGTATCCGATCAATAACAGTATCTCTTGTTCAGAAAAATGCACTTTCAGAATAAGAATATTTTCTCAGGCATATACAAATGATATAAACTATAGTATCTACGTATAAGTGAATCACAAAATACAAGTGAGAGTTGAAGCTATTTAGACTGCAGTGTAGGTCACTGCCTAGTTTCTGTAAGGGGGTGTGCGTGCGAGCACGTGCGTGCGAGTTGGAAAGAGATAGCCGCTCCTCCTGGTCTCCTCATTATTTAGGGGTTTTTGACACCATACAATTTTGCAATGTGCGCTCGGCTAGGAGAAAAAATAATCACGGAGTCAAGGTAAACGATTTGGGCTCCAATCCTGATTGTGATAATTGTCAAAAAACCCCTCGAATCAAGCAACCGCAGTCAATGGTCGTTAATGTGAAATTAGTAGCTCTTGATAACTTGCAGGCCGCATCAATTCCGCAGTCATCAGAGCCTAATGAAAATAAGGGGGGAGAGAATGCATGCGGCATTAGTGGCCTATTCTGATGCCTGCGCACAACTCGAGTGGTAAATGTGGATTCTGGCCTCTAATGCTCCTCTCACTGCACGTGGCACTATTAACTCTTCTTCTCCCCTGACCAGAGTTCACATAATTGTTCAGATGTTCCCCATTCCTTTATTAGCTATTTTCTAGTCTGGTTCTCAGAGAGAAGACATGATTACAACCTTAATGATCGTGCTCTTTTCTTATCTTTTTATATTTTTGTGCTCTTATGGACGCTCACTTGGTTACAATTTAACTTTTGAAGATGTGTCACAAACACATCTTTCATATTATTCTTATTATTATTTGTTGTTGTTGTTATTATCGTCCTCATAATTATTACTATTATTATTAGCCTAATGCATACATGTGAATAAAATGTATAGGCTCATCATCACATTATTCACTAAGTTTTGGATGTCTCTCCTCTGCAGGCTAATCAGCAGAGCACCAAGTATAATCGGCATATCATTATTATTTGAGATGACCGTTATTGTCAGATGGCAGAAAATGCCTTCATTAGCATGTGATAGATAGAAAAAACCAAGAGGACAAAAATCACTAATTGGGCCCATAAATTAGACCATGGTGATGATGAGAGCCCTTCAGGAACGATGGCAGGACTCAGTCCAAGAGGCTCCTCGTGATTTTGTGCAGGATATACAGCATAACCATGCAATGAAGACACTGGTCAAAAGAAGGCACAGCCTATCATTCAGAGAAAAAGGACCACAAACTAAAGCTGGAGGCCCCTATATGTCTAAAGATCAACCCCTTAGGGCCTTTAAAGAAGAAGTACTCTGATCTTTTACGCAGCTAAAAGTACAAAAAAAACAATGTAAAAACAGTCCAATATAAGTTAAAGTATTGCATTAAAAATCACATGTACAAGTATAAATGAAGAACTATGAGCTATAAGTATAAATTCTGCAGAAAAAAACAGTCCCTGCGAGTGATATATTATTGTATATGACATCATTATTGTGAATGCCAAAGATGTTACAACTGAAATGTAATACTATTTTCAAATCCTTAAAGCATTATTTAAATAGGCCTGTACCTATAATAAGATATAGGCCTAAGCTAAGGTAAAGATTGTTTGCCCAATTTTGGGATCTGAGATTGTGATTTGAATCCTTTCCTTCCATGTGAAAGTCTCCAACTTGACAATTACAAAAGGGTTAACTCAAACCAGTTCAGCCTTAAACTTGGCTCTTGGCGTGGGGAGAGAAAATAGGCTAGCTGTAAAGTTATGCAGAAGTTATTCTTCATCCTTCGGGCCGTCCCTAATCCGCCAAAAACCTCATTCTTTCATCGGAGAACTGTGCCTCCTTTCTTGTTCCCCCCTCTCTATACAACATAAAGTCAGACTGCATTTAATGGTTATGTCGGGATGGGAGAGGGGCTTTCTTCTTCCCCTTTTCTCCAGAATATTGCCCTTTTCGTCGTGTGAGTCTCCCAACCCGCAGGGACCCCCATATTATTCCCTCTGCGTCTGACTCGAATCACAAACTAACCCTGATTTTCACCACTTTGCTGGGAATTGCGGGGAGTGATAATAGAGATTTCGCTTTCATTTTATACGCTTGACTTGGTTATTGTTGCTTTTCTCCTCTCCCGTGATTCTCCCCTCTTCAGGGATTAGCCCTGACTTCACCCGCTATACTGGCCGCCGAAGTGCCCCTGAGCCCTGGGATGACAATTGATGCAGATCAAGGCGGGCCTATTCTGCGCCTTTCAAAAGGACCGAGCTGAGCCGGGTTAAAATGAGGGAGTTTTAATGGAAGGAACGGATGCCCCTCAGTTTGCTTCCCACAAATTAATTGCAAGAGTTTTTGTGGGAAGATATTGACAAACATTTAGGCTAATATAATAAAGGCTATAGCAAGTTTATTTTCATCTTATGCAGACCGCTGTAGGCGACACAGGCCTTCAGACTGCATGATGATGATGATGGTTGGAGTGAGATGATTAAGCTGTTGATGATGTCAAGGATGATAGGTGGATGGTAATGGTAAGTGTGATATGTATGTGGAATGATGGAAGAAGATTCCTATGATCGGGTTATGCTTAGAATGACGGTGGTGATGACAATGATGAGTTTAAGTACAGAGGTGCTGATGAAGATGATGATGACAATGATATGTATGGTGATTGGAGTGTTGGTGCTGCTGATGAGGTTGAGAAACCAAAAATGCAGAAAATGATGATGATTGTGATCAGTGAGGAAGATGAGGACAGTGATGCTGAAGATAAGATCAGAGTAAGATATAGCTATTATGTATGGGTGCTGATGCTTATATATGAACAACAAATGGACAATTTTATTGATGTATCAATCTATTGTTTATTGAAAATACAACTAGGTGATTATAAAAGATAAATATTAATGAAAGTTACTTTATATACATGTGTAGTTTATGTAGAGTAACTTTATCCTCATCATATTTCAGAGAGAAATATTGTGCTGCATTTTGTAGATGATGTACTGTTTAAGCTAAAACTTGGCTTGTGACCCCTTACAAAAAAAATGGTTGTCTGGTTAGGGCCCCTTGACATGTTTCAGATGTCTAGAGTTTTTGGCAGTTCCACCAAAGAGGGATTTCTCCTCTAAATGTCTCAGATGCTTTCAGTTAGAAAACTTTTTCCAAGTTTTCCAGCCTCAAAGAGGTAAAACTCTACAATATTTCGCAAAATAAGCAAAGGTTAGAGATGAGTCCGAAACATTTGCATCGCAGAACTTTCTTCTCCCATTAATCATCTCACAGCCCTTCAGATATATCATATGTCCCTTTATAGGGGCTCGACCCCTATGTTGGGACCCACTGGACTAAAATACCCACTAAATCCTAAAACTGAATGACGCTGAGTTCTCTTCCTCCCGCCAGAGCTTGCAACTGCATGTCGAAGGCGCAGGTCCGTGTCGAGCTGGTTGCTGCCGAAGGCCCCGCTGTTTGGGCTGAAGGAGTTTCTGGTGAACCTGCATGATTTAATCTGATTTTCGACCTGGTGACACCAATGACAAGCATTATGAATAACTACAAATAGCCAATCTTCTCGCTGATGGTCTCGTTTACTTATGTAGGTCGTATAGAGGCATCAGTTTTAAATTGAGACTGTTTCACACTGAGTTAAACGCTCCTCACAATAACTTTAAGAATTATTTTAAATGCACCACGTTTAAGAGTAAGAATGAAGAAGAGAAGAAGGATGGATGTGCTGACTGTGGCTGTGTTACTGCAATCCATCAGCTCTACAGGTGTTGCTATCTTATCACTGCAACAGTTTGAAACAGTCTGACTGTGCAGATCTGCTCATCACTAGCACGTCACACAAGAGAAGGTTTCAGTATTTGCTGTGTCTCCCCCAATCAGGCATCTCTGCAGCACTGTGAGAAGTTAATCTTTGTTGACAGTGTGTTGCGCATTCTTCCGTGGGCCGGTTGGGTTGGGACCACTCCTGGAAAGCCTGGTCTGTGCTCATATAGAGGGGGATAATTACCAAACACGCAGCCGACAGCAGCGATACAAAAGCCGCTTTGACTTCCTCACTGCTGGTTGCCTCCAGGGGATGGTCCCGCTCCCTGCTCACCCTGCTCACCCAGACCACTTCTCATCACTCCTGAGAGGCAGAGACGTCTTGTTCCATAACAAGACATGAAACTGACTTCTTTCAGCTCCAGTGAACTGGACATAAACCCCGACTGACAACCTCCAGTGCCCAAACAGAACAGGCAGAGGACGGGTGGGCCGGGACAGAGGACAAGAGAGGGGTGGGGGCGGCACAGGGCGCACTAAATAAAGTTGTTATTCACTTTAATCTTACATCTTGAGGGGAAAACCACACCAAAGCTACTGAAGTTCAAAACTGATGTAGGCTTATCGAGTTCCAAAAGACCAACACTGCAACATTTGCATTTTGACAGTTTTGGACCTCATTCACGGATGTTTGCCAACTTTTTATGAGTAAATTTATGATTTCTCTCCATGGTCCTCTCAGAGCCATCTTTCTCTCTCAGAGCTCAGCGTGTTACAGCATTGAAAGCACGACGTGCTGTAAATGTAATGGGCCGGGAGTGATTGTTTCTGACAAGCAGCAAAACACATCGTCCCTCCCCTCAAATTAGTCCCCCAGGAGGAGGTGGGGTGAGGGGTTCATGTCCCAGGAGACACATCGGCAGACAGCATGCCAGCATATAGTATGAGCATGCATGTGACTTCCAGCATCTAACCCAGACCCACACTGGTGTATTGCTTTGCTGGTTCCAGTTATTTAGTGG